CATCATTTGAGTGAAGAAGTCGGGAAAATGGTATACAAGCGCATTATCGCTGAGCTTTTTCGCATTTTTCGGCCAATATTTTGGTGTATCACAACATCCGCAATACGATTTTGGCACAGCGGAAACAAGTGCTCGTACTGAGATGTTCCGCGGTATACTTTGAAGGTGGCAGGCCTTTTATATAACGACAGGATATGCAGCAACAAATTACCCTGCGAAACCCTTCAATGCAAGCGTTAAACGACACGCTTTGCGGAAAATGTTTGATGCACTCGTTTGCTGCGAAAGATAGTTGTTATTGCTGAAGACGTGACGGCTGACAATCACAAACCAATGTCTACGTGTGGCAATCCACCATCGACACTGCTTAAAACGGCTAAACGGTTTGTGCTTAGAGGGCATCATGCGCTATACGAGACTGAAACCGTGGATGTTGTGCGGAGTTTACATCTAAAAACAGCGAGACAGGCAATTCTACCGCGGGTCTGCACCTGCAGCAAGATGTGAGTCATGGCGCAACATTGGTGTGCTATACCAACACAGCCCAGACATCAAGCCCCATATATTTCGACAACTCGCTAACAGCAATGCCCAGTGATGGCTGTTACGTTGGTGATGGTAATAGCCATTTTTGGCACCATGGGCTTAGCGACTGCTTTCATCGGAACCAGTGTCGACGTATATGCATCCTGCGGTCCAGAGCAAAATTTCACAGCAGCAACAACTTGAGTTACAGTACCATATCACGCACGTACAGGCCCCTTTGACACACCTTGACCCTGTCCAAGCCGAAACTAGCTTTGTGACAGAAATAACGAATTCGACCGACATCGCAGCCGGTCATCAAGGACGTGTGTGGTATCCACAGAGATTCGGTCGCCTACCTTTAGCCCGTTGTGCACTTGAAATCCAGTATCTTTTTAATTGAGATTGTTGTAACCGACCATAATCCTAAAGCATTTGCAACATCTTCTAGTAAGGGCTAAACCGATCTATGCGTATTTAGATCCATGCTCGACTGATTGCACGCAGGTATGCTACTCGGTCATCGTTGTTGGCATCTCGGATAGAGCGAGACACTTCATTTCTCTTGGCGGTCTTTATTGTGTCGCAGCAGCAACAAGACCAGCACACCGAGGTGCTCCAGCTACTTCGCCGCGTTTTTTTACAGTGGTGGGTAAGCCTCTGACTGTCCGCTACGTGATGGGTGATGCCGATCAGCCCAGTGGAACGCCGTTGAAGAGGTGTTTGGGGAAGACTGCGAGTATACATACATAATGTGTTACTTTCATGTGGCCAAGAAGATATTCGAGAAAACACGCTCCATGGATTTCAGCAAAGCAACATCGGTAATGGCTGATGTCCACGACTTGCGCTATACCACGAGCGACGTCGCCTTCCAAGATAAGCTAACTGTAGTGCAAAAGCGCTGGGCAAAGCGCAAGGATCTAGATTTGAAAGTGTGGTTGAGCCAACGATTCGGGCGGTGACAGTGCTTCCACACACCAAGCGATTACGCAACTGCCAATAATTTCTGCGGAACTTACAACGCTTCGATCAAAAGAGACGTCACTCTGCGTCGAAACCTCAAGGTCGGTGCTCTCACACCACCTATGTGAAAGCGAAAGTGTCGCGGCAAGACCCTTCACAGCTACATGTGAGCCAGACGCAAGACTTGTGCGACGTGTCAAAGCGATGGCTAGCGCTGGGCTACTGTCAGTGTACTCCACCTCGAGAAATAGCATTGCCTTCCTGCTATCCAATCCTTCCGATATTTCGTCACGTGGCGTAGTCCATGTTGTTAGTCATCCATCGCCCGCGTTTATGACGAAACGAGAAAGAAGACAGTAGAGGACCTACCGACCTCTTCGCAATTGAGCAAGCTCACTGCAAATATGGAGACGCAGAGAATGCCTGCTGCGGGTTGGCCCGCGAATATGCACTCCCGCTCGTGTCCGTGCAACCTTTAGGTTCGAGTACGGGTCCTGCATCTACACGCTGCACGCTATGGAGGTACGTGGCGTTACAGATATACACGGAGGCGAAACGCTGGTTAACAGAGGAAAAGTCGCGTTGAGGTGCCTCGGGAAGTGCTATTAGGCCGCGCGCAATTGGTCCGCTGTTAGAAATAGAGTAACAACCTTTTATGAGTAGTATCAAAACCCGAAGCAGCAAAGGCGAGCGCATTCATGAAATCAAGTAGTTATCCCTAAACAAGATTCGGTTACGCGAATTCTAGTTTGTAGAAGTAATTCAGTAGCTACCGTACTGATTGTAACAGCTCGCAAGGATGGTGTGCTTATCGAAGGTCAAGGTAGGCTGCGTTTTAAAGCCTATACAGAAATCGCGTTGACATGACCTCAGTGACAGCCCTATTGTTCTCCCGCTTGTACAAACCGATGTTACGACTCAGTGAATAATGAATCAGCCCTTACTGACACTCTCTCAGATTCTGAATCCTGGAGAAGGAGTACACTTAGCCTCTGCCGTGCCAAGACTAGAATACAGACGCCAAATGTGGCGTGTAGAAAGTTTAAGAGATTACATAAGCATATCAAAATACTTTACAAATGTATGTGAAAACAAATATTGCAAGTTAGGCTGCGAGATAACTGTATCAGAGTGTTTGATTATTGGATCTTTACGTTAAAAGAAAGGCGCATGGATGTCGTTTATACAGAGTGACCAAATCTGGCTTGTACAAATGATGCGGGTAGGTGTTATGATGATACCTCAAACAAGCCTGGTCCAATAATCGTTAATTTGCAAGATAGGCTGCAAAAACTATAGCTTCAGTGGAGGGTTTTAGAACTTATATTTGACAAAATGTAGCTTGTACAATTTTAAGTAGTAAAACCTTGAAAACTACCTGTACATCTAAACAGCCCCCGAAACCAAAATGGCAAGTTAGGATGCGAAAAGAAATGCATATTCAAAAATTATAATTCTGAGTAGGAGCAAAGTGTACTGCAGTCACTTTTAGTGCTTGGCAGCCCGTAGGGCAGCTAGCCTCCGTCAGTTCCGCTAATTCGCTTTCTTTGCATTCACGCCTGCACGAGCTTTCTCCGACTTTGCTGGTAACTTCAACCTTTTGTAGAAAAGCTTCTTCTCACACTCGAAGTTTGCCTGGTCGTAAACACGTTCCTCCATCGTACAGTACGCTGTTAGAGGAGACTTCCACGATTCAATAGAATCCTTTTTGCTCCCTGAAGCCAGCTTGGTTGCATATCGAAACGACGCAACGCGATCCACTTCACAAACCACAATGTCATTAAAAACGCCGCCCCATTTGTCTTCTTCAGCAGTGCCCTTCTGGTAGACGAGAAGTACCTAGTGAAACACCAGCTTATTCAAACACACGACATCGCCGGGTCGTTGGATGAGCATCGAACTTCCAGGCGTACTCAGTATCCTATTTAAAGAGTTCCCTCCTTGTTTCCGTAGCTGAAGGATATGGTCGCCTTAGAAGACGGAGGAAATACCACACAAATCTTGAAGGCCGTCTTTGCGCACGGGGGCAGATACGAAATTACACGCCCGTGGTCGACGTGTATGGGGGACTCACGGTTTTCCGTTTGAAGCCAGTATTCAGAACTATACATATAGGCTTCGTTGTGCTGAAATACGAGCTTGGAGTAGTAGTCCGGCAGGTGTACGCTGTCGGGCAGAATTGGCCTTCTTCTTGCTCCTCCATTGCACCTTCCTCCACGAACTCCCGAATGTTGGTCGTTCCCAGGATATCGAAAATGTCCTGGGGGTCGTTTGAAATACGTGTATACCCACGTACCCCTGCCACCGAATCACACGAGCCAGCGAACACCAGTGCTGGTGCCTTCGAATCCATCACACGCGCCCATGACAGCGCGCCAAGCACGTATCGGTCCTTGCTGTACGGTATGCGGAACTTTATTTTCTGCAGGTCGTACTTGCGAGGGCCATATTCTACCCGATCGACGCTGCACCAACGCATGATGAATTGCGCGCTCATCGTCAAATGAGGTCGATATCATAGGCTTGCAATTATTTGTAGCAAATTGATCAATTAAAACCTGCCAGCGAGTCGTTGGGTGCTACAGGGATGCCCTGACTATACATGGGTGCTATTTGAGAAGATGCAGTGCTGAGACCCTAAACTGAGGGTGTTTATGGTATTTACTCCCAAAGACCCGGAAAAAGTAGCCACTTCCATTTTCGTCACGTAACCCCCGTCAAAACCGACTTAGAGACCTGATAGCTTAAGTCAAAAAGCGAGTTCTGAGCCGTTGACACCAACTCACCTACTGGTTGAACAATAACCAGCTTTGAAATTTGGCTGGCTTTTCTGATGATATCCTTCCTAACAGGAGCTCCTTCAACCTGCTGACCCACGACAATAACCAGCTTTGAAATTTGGCTGGCTTTTCTGATGATATCCTTCCTAACAGGAGCTCCTTCAACCTGCTGACCCACGCCAATCTTGTATACTGGTTTCAGCTTCTTTTGGCAGAGTGGGGTCAGGGCCGCGCCGTTTGCTGAAGATGTAAGGGCCTTCATACCCCTCTTCGCGCCATATTGTGTCTTCTACAACCCATCAGAACAAGTTGTCGGCAGGAACACCGTTCTTCTCGCTGATTTCGTCAATATCGACCCCTTCTCGCATAGACTTCACGATGGCCATCTTCCCTTTGCTGCTGTACGTGCGACGCTTTATATTTGGCAGCTTAGATCAAAACTGAGAGGTTTAGGCCGAGCGGCGCACGTGTCTAAATATATCCAATCAGCTGCTTATTCAGCTGCTATTGGTTAATCTGGCCCATTGATCCAAACTGGCCATTTATTGTGAATTTTGACTAAATTTGCCGAACGTGGCTGGTTTAAAAGTTTGGTCTGACACGCCCTTCACAATTCTCAAGTCATTTGGAAATCGTCCATGACGAATTCGAACTTATGTGAAATCTTATTCCGTAAGTATTCGTGTTCGCATAATACCTTAAGTGCGATATTCTCAGACGGAAGTCAACATGTCGACGTCGGAATCGGACTTTGAGCCTGTGGAGCTTCGTGGTGAGCCACGCTGGTCCAGTATCCACTATGCGCCGCATCCACGTCCTGTACAGTGGTCACGCGCTATAGACGAGAAGCTGATACTCCTGGTAACGCAGTCCACAGCCAGCGGAGAGAGGTTCCCGGTCGGAGTCAATTGTGAGTTCAACTTCGATCTATTTCAATGTATTGTCAGTGGACCTTGTAGTTGGCTGTACGACTGAGTGTGTTGCGAGTCTAACACGTGGAAAATGAACAAATGTTGATAGGGCTGGAAGTTTCTCGGGTGGTGCGACGCTCTCCTGTAGACTGCGTGAAGCGCTACGCCTTTTTACATGATGCACGGGAGCGATACAACACTCTAGAAGGCGAGCAGAAAGTGGAGATGAAGACCGAAGCAGAAGAGGAGACTGAGCAGCTCGTAGAGGAACTACTGGACGAGTATCTCGAGGAGCAAGTGACGCTCAGCGATTTTGGAACGCCCGTTACCTCGCCAAAGTCGCAGTCGTTGGATACATCCGGGGAATTTGTAAGGAGTGCACCGACGTCGCCCGGATCTCCACCGCCTTTTGCGGTGGCTAGACCTGTTACCTCGAGACAGCCAGGAGCTGCTGTGTCTGGAGGAAGTCCGTTCAGATGGGAAAGTCTGGTGAATGATCCGAACTATACCGCGCCAGTGCTCAACTCGCCTCCAAATCTACGACACAAGCAGAGCTTTCAAGAGCGTTTCGGGTTCGAGGACGATGAAGCCAAAGTGCTATCCTCAGCATCATCGCCAAGACTGTCACCGCGAGGTTTCATGTCGCCTCCGGAATCACAGGTATATTCGTCCGTCTTTGACGCTTTTGTGTGGGTTCCAGTACCGTTTACTATTCCCTGTGCTTTGTTGCGCTCTCTTAGGCTCGGATTGGCGAAATGGGAGCTGATCCCAACTACTCAGCCACAGTTCTCACACATGCATTCAAGGGGTTGAAACTCGGGGTACCGCTCGGCTCACCGCCTTTAGGTTCACCTCTCATCGGCTCTCCACGTCTTAGTCGGAAGATCTCCAACTCAGGTAACGAACCCTTATATCACTATTCTCTCTGGGTACCTGTTTAATTCATCTTGTGCACAGAATATCCCTTCTTAAAAGAAGAAGACATGTCTGCTCGTCAGTCTGCAGCGAGTAGCAACAGTAGCTTTCGTGGTATTGGAAGAGCGGAGACTCAAGCTGCAGCTCCGTTTTTGGATGACGCCTACGGATCTGGTGATGCGACAGCCGGAGATCTACAGCGTCAAATGAACGCTCACTTGATGCGCATGTCCGCTATGTCCGCCATGTCGTCCTTCCACGGTGACAACCCGTTCTCGGGTTCCGTGACCCAGTCGGCGTTGGAGGATGCCTTCTTGGACATGGCTGGCTCTCGCTTGGACGCTTCCAATGTTCTCCTAAGTAGCCGCATGTCAGCAGCACCGGGCTCGCAGTTCCGCATGCATCTACAAGGACAAGAGCATCAGCGTACCCAAGACGCAGCCTTCAAGCCAACTGAATAAGCGAAGATGAAGTATTTATCCCTTTTTTGACAAGCACAAGCAACGGTATGCCTTCCAATACATTTTATCTCTTCATATCTCTGCAGTTCAAAGACAAAAGCGAAAAAGCATTCCAACACTGTTAGACCGGTGGATCGATCTATGCCTTAGAGTCGTGCGTGGTCTGTGGGAGTGCCTCCTGCGCCGCCTTATGCTTCTTAGCCGCCTCGCCCTCTTTGAACTTGGCATAACCGTAGAGGATTCCACCGACCATACCGAACGTGACGTAGATGGCTGTGTCAGGCTTTAGCGGCTCACCGAGGAGCAATACACCAATGAAAGTGGTCGGGATCTTGTTCAACCCACCCACAGTCGCGTACGTTGTGGCTGAGGTGACGGACACGCACCAGAATGACGCGAGGTTGAGACCGACACCGAGTACGCCACTGATGAAGAGCAACAGGGTGAAGTTAAAGTTACCGAGTAGGGGGTTACTCCAGACCGTGAAGGCTTCTCCATTAAGCACGAGCGGAGGCGCGAGCAAAGGCAGTGAGATGAGGTTGTTGTAGAAGGCCATTCCGAACTTGGAGATCTTAAGCGACGAACGCGACGTGGCATAGCGCATGTACAGCACGTAACCAGCAGTCGACGCGCAGTTCAGCACCATCCAGAAGTAGCCCGAAATCGTGGAGGGCGTGGCCTTGCCGCCGCCGACGTCACTGTACGAGGACATGACGGCACCCATGAGCATAACGCCGAGACTCACGAGCACGAGGCCGCCTACACGCTCGCCGAAGAAACGCCACTCGCCAAAGACAATAATGATATTGGTGACGTTCTTAAACACTGTGACAATGTGGATAGGGAGTCCCGCCGTCGCCTGCATGCTCGTGTACAGCATGGCCACGAAGAAGAAGGTCACCGGTGCCCACTTCCGCGCGATTGCACTGTCGTATGGGTCGTACGAGATCAGCTTCTGCATCTTCGCAAGCTCCAGTACTAGAATGGCCACACCAGCCTGCACAGCCACCACGAAGAACTTTTCATCGAAGCCATAGTACTTCTTACCCAGCAGATAGCGGTTCGTCAGCACCATCACATTAGACATGACGCTGTACACGAGGCACGACACGATGGACAGCACCAGCGAGCCCGCTGCGTGACCTTTTGCAGGCGACATGACTGGCGGTGGCGATTCGAAGTCTTGAGCGCGATGCGGCTGAAGAGACTCTGGAGCAGGTATCCAGAGGGGGAACTGGAGCCTCGTACAGGTGTCGTTACGCAACTTACAGTTAATTGTGTATCGACACACAACAACACGAAGCACACATAAATGTATCCATTTCTGAAGATCGAAACGTCGCAAGGAAGTCAGCAATGGCGCAGCAGATGCTGTTCGCGAGCCCGACAGAATCCTGGCGGCAGAGCCCCAATGCGTGGACTACTGGTAATGATAGCAGCTCACCGCGGCGTGTCGTGACATTTGCGGTGCAGGACGCCTCGCCGTCGCCAGTCGTGTATCGGAGCCGAACGCAGAGTCCGTACGCTACTGATCTGACCAACGAACTTCCACCGGAGCAGCGGCGGTCGCGTAGTCAAGCAGCAACACAGCGGGATAAAGCAAAAATGAGGCCGAGTACGGTGAGACCGCGGACGCGGCGTCCTGGATGGGATGCGGACGTGAACCACGGGACGACGCTGTTCGATGCGTCGCTCAAGAAGTCGCAGTTGTTCCAGGCCCGAGCGGGTGATCGACGTAAAGAAGAGGAGGCGGAAAGGCAGGAAATAGCGCGAAAGAACGTAGTACGACGGAAGAAGACACCTCCTGCTCGAACGTCTACCGTGCGGTACAGATCCGGACCCTCCAGTGTGTATGCACAGCACCGACAGAACGTGACGCACTGGCCGCAGCGAAGAACCAAGGATTTTGTGCGAGAAAACATTGAACAACTAACAGGACGACCCGCAAATAGAAACTTTGGACGACATGGAACACAATTTAATACTCAAGAGAACGTGTCTGAGAGACTGCCAGCCCCACGAGTAAGCAAGGCTATGCTGCGGTCGCATGCATTGGTAGTTCCATTAGAAAAGGAACGTGATCGATCTCTAAGTGTGGCATCGCTGTCTCCTCCTCAGTCTGCTTCAGCGTCTTCACCTGCTCTCACTATTGATCCCCCAGCGCCAGATAAACACAACTCGCCACATTCGACAACACCTTCACCGGGAAAACGAAGAAGGGGTCTAGGGTGGTCGTCCCCGTATTCGTCACCTCAACGATCCCAGCAATCCTTCTCGTCGCGTCACTCCCCAGCAGTTCATTCTATCTCAACAAATCGAAGTGGTGATGGCTCACACACCCAAAGATATGATAATTACCCGACACGAGTGTTTGGCGTTCTTGATCGAGATAATGATGGACGCATCGGTGTCAGCCAAATCCTACAGGGACTTCGACTTTTGGGTCTCCCAGCTACACACAACCAGGTACGCTAAACGAAATGCTGTTTATTAACAAGGTCAAACGTGTGTTTCTTATTGGTATTGCTGTCTCCTAGATTTCGGACTACGTTTATCTCATTCACGAAGGTCGACACAACTCGATCGATCTTGAAGAATGGGAAATTCTAGTAGGCACGCTCGATGCTGCGTCACGTCCATCGAGTGATATTCCGCGTAATGCACAGGCGGGTCAAGGCAGTGCCATACAATCTCGTTCACCGTCCTCGCGCGATATTACTGCGCACTCGCCGTACAGCTCCATGCCGCCGTCCACCTCACCTCGCCCAAAGAGCCATCACCCGAGCAGTCTAACTCCAAAACAACGAGATCAAACGTCAACTCGAACGCGTCGAACATCACACGACAATGACATGTACTTTTCCACCTCCGTCCAACGGGAGGCCATTGTGGCCGCTGGACACCAGTCTATTTCTCAGGATGACCCCTATCTTGAGGAAATCCAGGTAGCCACTACCTACAGAACTATAGCACTCTAGCATTTGACATGATTTTTTTTATCTTTACCAGAATCGCATTGAGGGGATGTTTGAGAGGGCACAAGCAACCGCAGCACTTCGATGGGCACCTGAAGCGCGAACTAGTCAGGTCGAGAACGAACCAGAGCATTCCAGGTCGGATCGTATACTGAAACAAGCAGCTAACGTTGTGTACAGTCTTCGGGTAAAGTGGAAAGATTGTGTTGATGTACTCACATCTAGCATCTATTGACGACTGACTTGTGTAATGTTTGACCTCAAATGGTGGATAGGCCTCTCTGTTTCCGCTTGTACACCAAGCTGAAGCCACTCTCCGAGAAATACAACAGCGGCATGGCTCCAAGCTGTCTCTTTTCCTGCCTTCAGGAGACCTGGCTACGATAGCGCAGAATTCTGATGTACTCGCATCAGCAATTCTAGACGACATCTTACTGGTAAGACGGCAAGATAACTCACAAAGGTTCCCAGATCTCAACTGTGTGTCTTGGCAACTTACAGGACACGGTCCAGTTGCTAAACGAGGAAGACAAGCAGCAGTCCTACCGTCACTTAGAACTTCACCACGCCGATCAACTGGACGATATATTAGCCCGTATTCAGGAGATCGAACATGAAGAGAACAAAATGATCCATCAAGGACTGGCGCTGAGCTATCAAACTCAAGGCGTGAAGTGCCACCTTCCGACAGCTTCGCTTCATGGTGGACTCGATCCGGAGTTAGCGAAGCCATCGCAACACAAAAGCGTACCAAACCTGACGCTCCCACTAGAAGTTGTGATGAATATCAACGTCCCAGCGGACGCAGATCTGTCGCCACCGGAACACGATATGAAAGTCACTGGGAGCATGGTTTTCGACGAAGATGAGTGTGACTCCATTGAATTCGGTCACCCAGGACAAGTGTTAGAAATGCCAGTGAGAACGTCGATCCTACAAGGCAAACGCCTGCAATCTATCGAACGAAGAAGACACAAGTTTCTGCATCACCGTCGGCTCGTGGAATCGTCTTTGGCTGAGACCGGAATGACGCAATGTGCTGTGATTGAAATGTGCGTACTGCATCTTGAGTGTGATGACTGTTTGCGGTAGTTAACGCTGTAGCGTCTTTACAGACTGGAGGAAATGCTACTGGACGATTTGGTTGATGAGACCGCCGCAGAACTCGACGATACTGTAATATCGATGTCAGACACACTGCTGACCAACTTGCTTTGATTCATATGAAGTAGTAATACCAGCTACGTTCTGTGGCCTGTACACCGTTCGTTGATGATCTTCTGCCGTTGTTCTGTCCTCACAGGAACCTCTTGTCGTTGGATCTCCTCCTCGTATTTCTTCTGCTGTAGACGATGCTTGGTAATCACTTCGTCAACCATATCTTCAATACATACGAGTACTTCCCGTGCAACTTGCTGGTCGAACACTGTGTCCCTAACCAGCTGAGTATGCACGTCTTCCAAGAAAGATACTCCATGTACTATGCTCTCTTGGAAGTGGCGAATGGCGAGTACTTGGCATCTCTTTCTTCTAGTAATAAATCTTCGTAGAAACATTTGCAGAGTCTTGCTTGCTTCCTCATGGATACAGGTTCGAGCAACATGACATTCGTAAATAAAAATGCCGCGGTTTGCAAGCTGCAACATGGGGACATCCTGTGGTTCCGGTAAGCGCCGCCATTTCCAAGCGAAGTCCATTGGCGTAATCCATCCATAAGCAGATAGCGTTTCTACCAGCGACGACGTTGTGTGGTCCAGAGAACTCGGAGGAAGCACTCGTTCAACCCATTTTGCCATCGTCAGCTCGAACCAATACCACAATCCACCCGTCTTGCTAGTTGCACTTCGTTTTGCACGCTTACGGCACAAGTTCCAGTGTAGTAGTGCATGACACGCACCTTGATCGTGTATCTCGTCGAACGCATGACAGCTCTCTGCATTTGGACTGAAGTAGTGGAAAGTTGTAGTTCTGGATCATCACACAAAATATCAGACTATTGCAATATAGACTTCACAGCGCAGGTAATCAAAGACCTCGTACAAGACGTACCCGTAGTTGCCTAACATGACGTTTCGCTCAGCCACGCTCAACGACGTGCCTGTTATTTGTTTCGTCAACTCATTCAATGTCTCAATGGAGACTCCACTTGTCCACTTCGGGTCTAGTCGTAACATCTCGTATTGAATATCAATATCCCGGCAACGAGCAAATGCATGGAGTCGATGCAACACTGAAGCTAATACCCCTTGCCATTTATTCGAGGTATCCAAAAGCTGCGGGGTGGAGGATGACAACGACAACCCATTGCGGTGACTAACAGTGTGGTCCTCTTGCAAATTTGACACCCCGAGCTTTCCACCGACCAAATGCCGGGACTCCAGAAACTGCGTTGTGAACACACGAGCTTTCGTGGCTTCCTTGTAAGCTTGTAAGTTCTTGGAGTACTGGATATGCTCAATTTCCTTGAGCATTTTGGCAATCTCGTCAGCTATATCAGCTGGAGATGCCTTAAAGGCGAGTGTCAGCTGTCTGGTAGCCTCAATGAAATCCTGCAAGCGAGCTGTAGCTACACCCAGATTGTATCTAGCCTTCCAGTTCGCTCCATCCAGGCGTAAGCAATTTCGATAAGCCTTTGTCGCTTCTTGAAGGTGATCGAATTCAAGGTATATAGACCCAGCGTCAAGATATACCGTCGCGAGGTTGCAGCCACGTGGGTCGATCCAAATGATCTCCAGAAGAAGATACAAAGCCTTCGCGAGACTCACACGGTCGCCTGACTTGATGAGTATATGCGCTTCACATAACGCGGGTCGCCAGGTTTTTAAGGTCACGTGTTTCTTCTGGAATCGAGTTGCATGACGATGTTCTTCTAGTGTCTTGAGTCTGAAATTTGGGTGTTTTCCGTCTTCTTGAATCGCATTCTTCGTGATTGTAGGTTGGCAGTGTGCTCGCTTGAACTTACCATGTGTGGATGGGGCCATAGAATGCTGGGTAGCCGCCACTGAGTGCGCAGAGACAACTGAGCGCGTGTTGTCGTCAGTGACGACCAAACCGCCATTTATGTCTTGTAGGACCCTGAAATCCAGGCCATCGATGACGTATTCCTGGCTGGCGATCAAGGAACAGGACAAAGCGTCGCATAAGTTGTTGCAAAGCTTCCAACCGGAGGTGAACTCGCTGAATCTAAGTTGGGCTCCGTCGATTGTGCTGGCTGCATCGAGCTGCCCTGTCCAAAATGTTATCCATATTTCAATATTGAGCTCAATTCAAGTGCGTTGTCAAGAATCTCGAACCTGTTTGGTAAACTGCTGCAGGAGAACACTTTCACTTACGACCGAGTGCAAAAAATGCAACAGTGTATGCTAAACACGAACGGAAGTAAGTCGGGTGAGCAGGATACCAAATGGATGCAATGTGAGTTATACCAATTGGTGAATCGGAAGGCTGTGAATACTGACAGCTCGCAAGATACGTAGCACCGCGACCTTACATAATGTAAGTGTACTTCCTAGCAAGCATTCAGTGTCGGTATGTATTTGTAGTGTCCAAAACTTGGAAAACTCGTACGAGAAGCGAGAATGCGACGGTGTAGCTTTGGCTGCAGACTCCATATCTCCCACAGGTTCGTTAACACTGCTACTGACTGATTCTGCGTTAGGACATAGACGTTAAGACCAGTGTTTGGATTCATGTGGAGTCGCTCACACACCTCACGGTAGAAAAAGACGTTCCAGAGCGCATTCTCCAGACGAATGAAGGGGTCTGCTTTGACACAGCTCAGCGGTGATACAAACGAGATCTGCCAGTACCAAACAAATGCGTGCGGACCTACGAAGGGGAAGGTGGCCGACATCGTCTTTAAGGTCGCAGACAGGAATTAACCGTAACTTGACTTTTGGTCCAAAAGTCAAGTAAGTATGGAATGGTCTTTTATAAAAAGTTTGGACTGTACAAGCGGACGTTTGTCATTAGATCGCTGTATTTTCTCTTAAAAATGAGAAACCGACCGATCTTTACAAGTAATTTCAACACTTTTAATTCCCGGCACGTGTTGCTGTGCGGCTGAGTGAAATGTGACGAGGCTAATGTGACCGGTTGAGCCCAGCTGATACCGACTGAGCCCGGCTAGACGAGAGTCAGTGCCGCGTCATCACTTGATGAGAGGCTGGATTTATACGTATAGCCGGCTTCCTTTTTGCCCAAGAAAAAACCTCAACTGATACTTTAAGAAAAAATCACGTGTGGTGTCTTGCATTGGCACTAAAACACTTAGCAAAAAAAGTGTCTAAGTATGGTGTTTAAATTGGTGAGTCGTACTGTGATAGTGTTTATATTGGTAAGGTGTAGTGTAATGTACAAAGTGATGTATTTAAAGGCACATACACAGATACCTGTATCGGAGACATTGGAGCATCTTCTTGTCAATGGCTCCCACTGCATTTGCTCCGCACAACATTTCAAATACAAGTAGGACGTACACGCCACAGTTGTAGCTATCCGTTTGTATGCCGAGGCTAGATTCGTATAAACGGGTGCGGTAACGCTTCACACCAGCACCCGGAAGCAAACTTACCAGAGACCCGGCAACAGCCCGGATACTTGCCATGTAACTTGAATGCATCGGGTCGTACAATAGTATCTCATCGGTAGCAGAGTTGACGATGATTGCACACCAGTGGTTCCCGCTACAGTTGATCGGGATAAGAATCCGTTGACTGGATACTTCATTCAATGCAACACGTAGCGCATCTCGATCCGTTCTGATGCTGTCATTTCTGGTGATGCTCACAGTAGTTGGGTTGATCATCACTACCATATTGTCCGTTCCGAATAATTTTTGCATGGCAGTCCACATAGTTGTGTCTTCGAGGGATCCCTTAGCAGCAAAATCGAGCACATTTATCTCGACAATTGTAAATACGCAATAATGTTTACCCAAAAAAATTGTGAAGGATAATTTTTCGAAAAAAAGGATGCGTACCTGCTCGGACAGAAGCGGCATTGATTTCAACTTGGCAGGCAAATTGGGATCTGTTTCAACGTGAAATGACGTATCACAAAGCAGTGACACGTCCACTGAAGAGATCCAATGCAGCACGCGTTCAACAGTCTTAACGGCAGTCAGTGCCCGATGCCACTGCTTCATTATTGAGAGCGTGCACGGCATAAAAATGCCTACACCCACCACCTCAATTGCAATGTCCTGCTCAGCCAGCCCGCGCCGATTCCGTTGATATGCCGTCACCTTAGCATCGCATTTTCGTAACAGGTCCCATGCAAACACCCGCGTAAACTCACAGGCATCTGTGATTGGTTTTCCTGGTGGTAGCTGTGACGTATTGTGTGCAATTGGCGGTTTTGGTCGCCTGTCAAACACGAATTGTTTGAACTGGTTGAGTAATTGACCTGCTGACTCGTACGTAGCCTCTCCAGAAAGCGCCTCTTTAATCGAGTTGAGGGACAACCGTCTTTCATGCATGTCTGAATCATCTCGGGCCATCTCGATTGCAATACTTTTCTTGGCCTTTTTTGCTTTTGGTTTCTGTTTTGGTCGTCCACGAGGCCTCACCGGACTTGCGATATCAAAGTCGGTGGTGGGATCCACAGAAAGTAGCTGAATCTCACAGTCGTGCGATGTAATCTCTGTTCGAGATTTTAATGTATCCATCTGGTTGATCGGGGTACCCGACTGCGCAGGAACCGCACCCGACTGCGCAGTAACCGCACCCAACTGCGCAGGAACCGCACCCGACTGCGCAGTAACCATACCCGACTCGCCACTCAGTATAAACGACTGGTCAGGAGTCGTACCCGACTGGTCAGGAGTCGTACCCGACTGGTCATTCAGTATAACCGACTGGTCAGGAGTCGTACCCGACTGGTCATTCAGTATAACCGACTGGTCAGGAATCGTACCCGACTGGTCATTCAGTGTACCCGACTCATTACCCGACCGAGGTCCCGGTGAACTAGATTCATCGCCCAGCGTTGCCGATAGGGCTTCAAGTGGACTCGCTTCTACTGGTGCGGTCCTTGAAGCTCTCGAATTATTTGAGTGAACGGATTGTGTCTCGTACCGAGTGCCTTGAATTCAAGTGCCGCCCATAGTACCTGATTCTAATTGATGCTCATCTGCTTCAGCTAGCCCAGCAAGTTTGCTGAACTCTCTGCGCTTAATTACACTTGACACTTGAGCATATGCACTCATGGCTAATCGGTACTCAGTCATGCCAAGTCCGCTTATCTGTGTGCGCACCATAGCTGCCGACAATTATCCCAATTTTTGGCAAAGTAAGCGGCAAATGCATGCAAACCTTGTTGGTCCTGGGGCACTGCATTTGGGACTTTGGTCTCTTCTGAGTCGGACTCAGACTGGGCTAAGTCGGGTTCATCACGAGCGGAGTCGGGTACCAACTGGGCTGAGTCGGGCACGGGCTGGTCTAAGACGACCAACTGGGCTGTGTTGGGCACGGGCTGGGCTGAGTCGGGCGCGGACAGTGGCGAAGCTTGTTGTTCGGCAAAAGAAGCTGTAATACCCTTGGCCGCAGTCGAACCAATGCGCGTGAGCTGGTGCATGTAGCTGAGATGTTTCATGTACTCTTGCTCTGTCTTCGCGTACACCAGTAGGCTCACGATACTACGAATTTGCTTCTTCTGCCAATTACTGAAGCCATAGTCTGACGATGCAACTTCCTCCGACAAGTACTTGATTACGTGAAATTGACAGAGAAGTACTCTGGCCTCCGGTAGAGCTGTCTTCAACACTGCTAGCTCAGTGAAATCCTTATCAATAATCACGCTTTGGATTTTGGTCCAGGCTGGATTAGCCGCCTTGAATGATTCAATCGCCGTCAAGAGTGTGGGAGCTCTTTCATTTTGTAGCGCACAATGTTGCACAAACTGACCTTTACCAAAGACATCATGCGTCATAAACGAGAAGACCTTATACTTGGACACATTGGTCCCGTGTGTTGCATCCATGAGCAGAACCTCCGGAAAACGGTCGAACATCTCGCGCATTGACTTGGTTTGGAACGTGATACACGTAGCCGTTTTCTGTAGACCCACAATAAATCATTTTGTTAAGTTCATCAACAAAATATCTCCATGTATCGTAGCTTACCTTCCCAACCGTTGGGTCAATAAAGATTCTACCAACATTCCCAGGTTCCTCGCAGAACTCCACCATCCATTTCTTTAATCTCTGTGAGCTGGTGCTGGACGATTGTTCTCTTGCCTTAAGGCGCTGGACGATGTTGTGTACATCGCGAATAGAGGGGCTGCATTTAGAATGCTCCTGGATAAACTTCAAGATATTCTTTTTCTTGGCACCGCCTTTCTTAGCTCGTCGACAGTTTCCAACACCTCACCCTCAATGGCGGTTCGATTCGATGCATACTGCTCATACGTCCGCCGATTTAGGTTATGGGAATGCTCGAAGTTACTTTTCGTGATGAAGAGTGCAAAAGCCCTCTTACTTTTATCTGCGAGACGAACGCAGACGTTAACCTATTAATACACACAAAATAACGCACACCACGAATTAATCATTAGGCTAACAATGTAGTCATTAATACCCAAGTGAATCAGTACCCGACTGGACCCAACTGGTGCCCGATTGACACCCGACTGGCAAAATACGTACCGAAGCCTCGCAGCCCATGGGCCTTGTTTCCTGGCGTGGTCGCTTTCCTTGCCCTCGCGACTTGTATGCGCCAGTATGCGTACAGATTAGCTTCTGAGAATAGTTCCCCCACTCCGGCGGAATCAGCGACGCACTCGAGTTTGTTGACTGGATCTTCTTGTTCCGGTCCAAAACTGTATTGTTGGTTCGAATGCGAAAAAGCTAAATGAATGAAGCGTAAATATCTGTCCACCTTTAAATAAGCTGCCCTATGGCGAAAATTACATACCTGGTAGCTGTTCCTTTGATACTCCTTGAAAAAGGCGTCGAACTGTTCCCACGACTCAAAGCACGTGTGCGTGAGAGGTGGCCCCAGCACAGCTCGGCCAGACCCGTTGCTGAAGTCGCTTGACTGCTCAGACGGCACCTGATTGGTGCTATCACCAATTGAAACGTCCCTGTGCTCATGAGAGCCTCTCACATAGCGAGGGTCAACGTCGCTCTGATCACTCTGGTCGCTTTGGTTATACGAGGCACTCGGCTCGCACCGCTTCCTCCCTACCTGGAGCCGGGGGTCCATTCGCCACGATTGACGTCTCGCGCTTGGCACGCGTCGAGCTATAAACGAATGGTTTTGAATGGATAGAAAAAATAGACGTGTATACGTTGTTCGGATGAAACATAGGGCTAGGTGGCATTTCATCGATGAAAAGGGAGATGGGCCAGCCGGGCACGATAGTCACTCTCTTAATTCCCACCTGCGACTTTGGGTCCAAAAGTACTTGCGACCTAAAGTTTCAGCCAACTTTCGACCAAATTTGCGGGTATTAGGCTCAGTCTTTAGTCAATTGTGCTGATATTTTTTGCAGCAAGTCGAAAAAAAATACGACATAGTGATTGGTCTTATTCTATAAGCATCAAAATTGACGCATAATTAGCGGCGAGATCTTCACTTCCGTCGCCGTCGCTGTCACACTCCATTCTGCTGATCCCCTTCCGATTGTGCTTGATCAGTACATGCATCGAAAACCAGATAGGGGGACGGGGACAAATGGCTCCACATCACGCAGCAACTCGTAGGAAAGCGTCGCTCGTTTCTCTTCAGGCCCTGTAACTTATCCAGCGCGTCAGCAGACAGTGCTTACGAGCACAGTAAACAACGTATCTTGTTCGACTACAATACCGAGCTAGAGAGCACATGCAATCTAGACAATATATGTTATTCAGACCTTTGCTGTTACGCAACACCCAATGTACAATTCCGATGCAGCGCCAAATGCACTGGGATAGCAGTTATATCCTTCATTCAAGACAGGATCACATCTCCTACGACTGGAACTGGGGAAATCTCCCTTCAGTCGGTGCTGGCACATGACGTACTTTGTGCGTAGCGGTACCCAGATTTACGGTGCTCAAGCCGTGATTTACGGTATTTTTATCACACACCTTAATTAGTAATTAGTGATTGGCAATTACTTTTATTAAATAGTCCTTCAAAAATCGTTTTATTCGGATCACAATCAGCATCGTACATGTAGTTGGTTGCAGCAAATCGGGTACGGTAGCTGTGCGTCACTCGAGTCCCACTGTCCAGAGGGCCAATTGCAGCATTTTGTCTCACTGTTTAAGCCAATCCATGTTGAGGACGATCCGAAGGGAGAGATGACCGTGGTACCATGGGTAAAAAGCCGGCTCATCTGGTTGCTACATTGTCAGAATACTGAACCGCGGACGCCACGTAAGTCGTGGCATTCGTGGTCCTTCTTCGCCGCCAAGACTTCGCCATTTGCTCGCGGCCAGATAAGACGCCGGTGATCCATTTCCACCTCAGTCGGTGATTTCGTCTCTTCAATCCAAGGCGTCTCCACGATGAATGATGGTACGCTGTAATGCCTCGTCTCGCGTCGATAATCGCTTTTATTTCTAACCTTCATGTTGTGTCTAGAGGAGCGCAAGGCGTTGGCCGAGGCCCGCGGCCGTGTGGCCAACCTGCGGGCCATGTTCAACAAGGGTGCCGTCTCGAACACGGAGCCTCCGGCTTGGAAGCGTCGTGCTCCCATCAAGTTGCCGACTGCAGACAAACCAGATGAGCCCAAGAAGAGCGCGCTCGCTACAGCAAAGAGCTCCGAGTCGCTCCTGGATGCAGCTGTCCAGGAGCGTCGACTGCGCGAGGAACAGGAACGTCGTACCGCTCAAGAAGCACGCGATGCGATGGCCAAGCAGTCGTCGTATGACCTCGAGAGTGACCACGCGTACAACCACGCTGTCAAACAGAAAGAGTACGAACGCTCGGTGGAGCAGAAGGCCAAGGAATCGCTCTCGCAGTTCACAAGCGACGGAAAGACGTTCGAGGCCGAGAAACGAGACGAGCAGCGTCGGCTGGAGGAGATTGAACGTAAGAAAGAACAGGACACCAAGAATCTTCACGCGACCACGTCGTATTCAACCGAGTACGATCAGACGTACAATCACCACGCTAAACAGCGTGAAACGACGTCAAAGGCGGAGCAGGATGCACAGAAAGCGCTGAGGAATTTCGCTGGCGGGAAAACGTACTTCGAGGAGCAGCTAGAGGAGAAGAAGCGTCTGCAGGAACTGGAGCGACAGAAGGAGCAACATGCCAAAGAGGCGTCTGCCAAGAACAACTACTCGTCGCCAGAGTTCGATCACGCGTACGTGCATGCGAAGGAGGTCGCGCAGGTGGAGAAAGAGGCCGAGGATAAGGCCAAGGCTGCGTTGCTAAAGTACGACCAGCACGACGTCTCGCATGAGTATAGCATGAAGAACGGCATGATGGTGTCCAAGCAAGCTGCCGTGTCTGGAACCCCCAAAGCCAAGCGCTACCCGTTCACAGACCCTGCGGCACGAATTAAGAAGCCTAGTCCTCAAGCTATCAAGGCACTGGCAAGATTCCAAGAGCAACTCGCTGAAAGCCGTGCACGTGAGGAGCGAAAAGCGGCTGATGCAGCTTCGCGCAAGACTTCGTGGGAGTCTGGCCGCAAGATGTCGATTGAATCGGTTGAATCGATGGGATCGGTGCGCAAACAGTCCTTTGAGGAGGTTGATATTGAGCAGATCAAGGCTTCAGTGGATGGAGCCAAGCTCGACGTGAGATCTGCCGCTCTGAAGTTTGCTGACATGGATCGCAAAGCTGCGGAATCGGCCAAGCAGAACAAGAAGCCGATGACGTTCAATGGCGTGACCTATGGTCAGAGTGGGCGAGTCTTTCGTACTAAAGAGCAGGAACAGAAAGAGACTCAACGCAAGAACGACATGGCTACACGGATTCAGTCCCGTGTGCGTGGAGTTATGGCCCGCGACGCCTATAGCGAAAGAGTGTCTTCAGCCGAGAGAATAGCAATCCGCATCCAAATGGAGTTCCGACGACGTCAAGCTCAGAAGCAGCTAGAAGACTTGCGCCAGCAACTGCAGCGTGAACAAGCCTGCGCTGTTGTTATCCAGAAGCTTGTGCGCGGTCGCTCTCAGCGGAATCGCTATCAGACTGAGGTAGCTGTAAGGAAGGCGGCGGCAGTTTTGCTACAGTCTCTCGTTCGCACCAAACAAGCCCAAGCTGCATATACCAAGCAGATCAAGGCAGCGCATGATATCCAAGAGTTTACTGCTCGAATGCTGGCAGGGCGTCGGGCCAGGAGCGAGTCTGCTAGTCTTCGCAAGGAGCGCGATGCTGCAATACTTATTCAGTCCGTGTTCCGCACAAAAGCTGCCAAATCGGAAGCTGAAGATCGACGAGAGGCTATCGTTCGACTTCAATGTGCTTGGCGTCAATCAAAAGCACGAAGCACCGTGTCACGCCGAAAACATGAGATAGAGGTAGCAGCTTTGGCCCGCAAACAATATGAACAGTCAATGGCAACGAAGATTCAGAGCCACTGGCGCGGATCGGTTGCGCGTTCCGAGGTGGCCACGCTGCGTGCGGAGTCGGCCGAGATCGAGGCTGCTAAGGCCGCTGACGCTGAGGCCGCGGCTAAGGCTGCTGCTGACGCCGCCGCTGCCGAGGAGTTGGCTCGCCAGGAGGAGGCTGCACGACAGGAAGAGGCCCGTCTTGAGGAGCAAGCCCGCCAGGCCGATGCGGAGAACAACATGGCGACGAAGATTCAGAGCCACTGGCGCGGATCGGTTGCGCGTTCCGAGGTGGCCACGCTGCGTGCGGAGTCGGCCGAGATCGAGGCTGCTAAGGCCGCTGACGCTGAGGCCGCGGCTAAGGCTGCTGCTGACGCCGCCGCTGCCGAGGAGTTGGCTCGCCAGGAGGAGGCTGCACGACAGGAAGAGGCCCGTCTTGAGGAGCAGGCCCGCCAGGCCGATGCTGAGAACAACATGGCGACGAAGATTCAGAGCCACTGGCGCGGATCGGTTGCGCGTTCCGAGGTGGCCACGCTGCGTGCGGAGTCGGCCGAGATCGAGGCTGCTAAGGCCGCTGACGCTGAGGCCGCGGCTAAGGCTGCTGCTGACGCCGCCGCTGCCGAGGAGTTGGCACGCCAGGAGGAGGCTGCACGACAGGATGAGGCCCGTCTTGAGGAGCAGGCCCGCCAGGCCGATGCGGAGAACAACATGGCGACGAAGATTCAGAGCCACTGGCGCGGATCGGTTGCGCGTTCCGAGGTGGCCACGCTGCGTGCGGAGTCGGCCGAGATCGAGGCTGCTAAGGCCGCTGACGCTGAGGCCGCGGCTAAGGCTGCTGCTGACGCCGCCGCTGCCGAGGAGTTGGCTCGCCAGGAGGAGGCTGCACGACAGGAAGAGGCCCGTCTTGAGGAGCAGGCCCGCCAGGCCGATGCGGAGAACAACATGGCGACGAAGATTCAGAGCCACTGGCGCGGATCGGTTGCGCGTTCCGAGGTGGCCACGCTGCGTGCGGAGTCGGCCGAGATCGAGGCTGCTAAGGCCGCTGACGCTGAGGCCGCGGCTATGGCTGCAGCTGACGCCGCCGCTGCCGAGGAGTTGGCTCGCCAGGAGGAGGCTGCACGACAGGAAGAGGCCCGTCTTGAGGAGCAGGCCCGCCAGGCCGATGCGGAGAACAACATGGCGACGAAGATTCAGAGCCACTGGCGCGGATCGGTTGCGCGTTCCGAGGTGGCCACGCTGCGTGCGGAGTCGGCCGAGATCGAGGCTGCTAAGGCCGCTGACGCTGAGGCCGCGGCTAAGGCTGCTGCTGACGCCGCCGCTGCCGAGGAGTTGGCTCGCCAGGAGGAGGCTGCACGACAGGAAGAGGCCCGTCTTGAGGAGCAGGCCCGCCAGGCCGATGCGGAGAACAACATGGCGACGAAGATTCAGAGCCACTGGCGCGGATCGGTTGCGCGTTCCGAGGTGGCCACGCTGCGTGCGGAGTCGGCCGAGATCGAGGCTGCTAAGGCCGCTGACGCTGAGGCCGCGGCTAAGGCTGCTGCTGACGCCGCCGCTGCCGAGGAGTTGGCTCGCCAGAAGGAGGCTGCACGACAGGAAGAGGCCCGTCTTGAGGAGCAGGCCCGCCAGGCCGATGCGGAGAACAACATGGCGACGAAGATTCAGAGCCACTGGCGCGGATCGGTTGCGCGTTCCGAGGTGGCCACGCTGCGTGCGGAGTCGGCCGAGATCGAGGCTGCTAAGGCCGCTGACGCTGAGGCCGCGGCTAAGGCTGCTGCTGACGCCGCCGCTGCCGAGGAGTTGGCTCGCCAGGAGGAGGCTGCACGACAGGAAGAGGCCCGTCTTGAGGAGCAGGCCCGCCAGGCCGATGCGGAGAACAACATGGCGACGAAGATTCAGAGCCACTGGCGCGGATCGGTTGCGCGTTCCGAGGTGGCCACGCTGCGTGCGGAGTCGGCCGAGATCGAGGCTGCTAAGGGCGCTGACGCTGAGGCGCGGGCTAAAGCCTGCTGCTGACGCCGCCGCTGCCGAGGAGTTGGCTCGCAGGAAGGAGGCTGCACGACAAGAAGAGGCCCGTCTTGAAGGAGCAGGCCCCGCCAAGGCGATGCGGAGAACAACATGGCGACGAAGATTCAGAGGCACTGGCGCGGATCGGTTGCGCGTTTCGAGGTGGGCACGCTGCGTGCGGAGTCGGCCGAGATCGAGGCTGCTAAGGCCGCTGACGCTGAGGCCGCGGCTAAGGCTGCTGCTGACGCCGCCGCTGCCGAGGAGTTGGCTCGCCAGGAGGAGGCTGCACGACAGGAAGAGGCCCGTCTTGAGGAGCAGGCCCGCCAGGCCGATGCGGAGAATAACATGGCGACGAAGATTCAGAGCCACTGGCGCGGATCGGTTGCGCGTTCCGAGGTGGCCACGCTGCGTGCGGAGTCGGCCGAGATCGAGGCTGCTAAGGCCGCTGACGCTGAGGCCGCGGCTAAGGCTGCTGCTGACGCCGCCGCTGCCGAGGAGTTGGCACGCCAGGAGGAGGCTGCACGACAGGATGAGGCCCGTCTTGAGGAGCAGGCCCGCCAGGCCGATGCGGAGAACAACATGGCGACGAAGATTCAGAGCCACTGGCGCGGATCGGTTGCGCGTTCCGAGGTGGCCACGCTGCGTGCGGAGTCGGCCGAGATCGAGGCTGCTAAGGCCGCTGACGCTGAGGCCGCGGCTAAGGCTGCTGCTGACGCCGCCGCTGCCGAGGAGTTGGCTCGCCAGGAGGAGGCTGCACGACAGGAAGAGGCCCGTCTTGAGGAGCAGGCCCGCCAGGCCGATGCGGAGAACAACATGGCGACGAAGATTCAGAGCCACTGGCGCGGATCGGTTGCGCGTTCCGAGGTGGCCACGCTGCGTGCGGAGTCGGCCGAGATCGAGGCTGCTAAGGCCGCTGACGCTGAGGCCGCGGCTAAGGCTGCTGCTGACGCCGCCGCTGCCGAGGAGTTGGCTCGCCAGGAGGAGGCTGCACGACAGGAAGAGGCCCGTCTTGAGGAGCAGGCCCGCCAGGCCGATGCGGAGAACAACATGGCGACGAAGATTCAGAGCCACTGGCGCGGATCGGTTGCGCGTTCCGAGGTGGCCACGCTGCGTGCGGAGTCGGCCGAGATCGAGGCTGCTAAGGCCGCTGACGCTGAGGCCGCGGCTAAGGCTGCTGCTGACGCCGCCGCTGCCGAGGAGTTGGCTCGCCAGGAGGAGGCTGCACGACAGGAAGAGGCCCGTCTTGAGGAGCAGGCCCGCCAGGCCGATGCGGAGAACAACATGGCGACGAAGATTCAGAGCCACTGGCGCGGATCGGTTGCGCGTTCCGAGGTGGCCACGCTGCGTGCGGAGTCGGCCGAGATCGAGGCTGCTAAGGCCGCTGACGCTGAGGCCGCGGCTATGGCTGCAGCTGACGCCGCCGCTGCCGAGGAGTTGGCTCGCCAGGAGGAGGCTGCACGACAGGAAGAGGCCCGTCTTGAGGAGCAGGCCCGCCAGGCCGATGCGGAGAACAACATGGCGACGAAGATTCAGAGCCACTGGCGCGGATCGGTTGCGCGTTCCGAGGTGGCTACGCTGCGTGCGGAGTCGGTCGAGATCGAGGCTGCTAAGGCCGCTGACGCTGAGGCCGCGGCTAAGGCTGCTGCTGACGCCGCCGCTGCCGAGGAGTTGGCTCGCCAGGAGGAGGCTGCACGACAGGATGAGGCTCGTCTTGAGGAGCAGGCCCGCCAGGCCGATGCGGCAGAACAACATGGCGACGAAGATTCAGAGCCACTGGCGCGGATCGGTTGCGCGTTCCGAGGTGGCCACGCTGCGTGCGGAGTCGGCCGAGATCGAGGCTGCTAAGGCCGCTGACGCTGAGGCCGCGGCTAAGGCTGCTGCTGACGCCGCCGCTGCCGAGGAGTTGGCTCGCCAGGAGGGAGGCTGCACGACAGGAAGAGGCCCCTCTTGAGGAGCAGGCCCGCCAGGCCGATGCGGAGAACAACATGGCAGCGAAGATTCAGAGCCACTGGCGCGGATCGGTTGCGCGTTCCGAGGTGGCCACGCTGCGTGCGGAGTCGGCCGAGATCGAGGCTGCTAAAGGCCGCTGACGCTGAGGGCGCGGGAAAGTTGCTGCTGCCGCCGCTGCGAGCTAAGGGGCTGGCTTGCTGACGCCGCCGCTGCCGAGGAGTTGGCTCGCCAGAAGGAGGCTGCACGACAGGAAGAGGCCCGTCTTGAGGAGCAGGCCCGCCAGGCCGATGCGGAGAACAACATGGCGACGAAGATTCAGAGCCACTGGCGCGGATCGGTTGCGCGTTCCGAGGTGGCCACGCTGCGTGCGGAGTCGGCCGAGATCGAGGCTGCTAAGGCCGCTGACGCTGAGGCCGCGGCTAAGGCTGCTGCTGACGCCGCCGCTGCCGAGGAGTTGGCTCGCCAGGAGGAGGCTGCACGACAGGAAGAGGCCCGTCTTGAGGAGCAGGCCCGCCAGGCCGATGCGGAGAACAACATGGCGACGAAGATTCAGAGCCACTGGCGCGGATCGGTTGCGCGTTCCGAGGTGGCCACGCTGCGTGCGGAGTCGGCCGAGATCGAGGCTGCTAAGGCCGCTGACGCTGAGGCCGCGGCTAAGGCTGCTGCTGACGCCGCCGCTGCCGAGGAGTTGGCTCGCCAGGAGGAGGCTGCACGACAGAAAGAGGCTCGTCTTGAGGAGCAGGCCCGCCAGGCCGATGCGGAGAACAACATGGCGACGAAGATTCAGAGCCACTGGCGCGGATCGGTTGCGCGTTCCGAGGTGGCTGCAAAGCGTACCGAAGCGATTGCCTCAGTACAAGCTCAGCTTTCTCGTATCGAGAACATGACTGCAGTTCAAATTCAAAGCAGATGGCGAGGAACACTCGCACGTTCGATGGTGCTTGGGCTTCGCGCTGAAGTTGCCCGAGAGCGTGAGAACTTGATGGCAATTCGCCTGCAATGCCAGTGGCGATCTATTGTGGCGTCTCGTAAGGTAAAAGAGCTGCGTGCGCAGCGGCCAGCGTCTTCAGAGACCCAAGCAGAGCTGAAGAACGCTATGGCGCTGAAGATTCAGTGCCGGTGGCGTATCACTGTCGCTGAGCGTAAGCTTGCAAACCGCCAACAGGCAGCTCAGCAAGCTGACGAAGCCACGTACGCCACGCTGATTCAGGCCGCGTGGCGTGGCCGAGCTGGCCGGAAAGAAGCCGAGCTTCTGCGATCTTCTGAGAAAGAGGGATCCGCTTTAGAGAAGCCTCAAATGCGTCGCCAACCTACATTGGCCGAGCTCCAGCTTCTCAGCCAAACTGGCCGCTTCTCCAATCTTTCAGACGACAGCGACGATGACTCGGAGCTCGAAGATATTTCCAGTTTCGTTGATGCCCCGCTTGCCCCCACCCCGGCCTCGATGCACTTAATCGGCTCCGAGACGGCCGAGTCTGTTCCTGTTAGTCCAGTGGCCGCAAATGCTCAGCTTCAATCGCCTCTTGGCGATGAAAACTCTACCCCGCGAGCATCTTCAAGCTCCGTGAACATGGGACTGGAGTTTTCGATTCCCGAAGACTACTCGACGATTCCGGATGACAAGAGTGATGCAAGTAGCGATAGCTTCGTGGACGCCATGGAAGAGCACAAGCCAATTGAGCAGGGCTTGGTCAACGCAGGTGTGGAGGAGAACCGCCACTGGGCGAACGAGGACGATTCTTCATTCGAAACCTCCTCGTCCACTGACACTCCCGTGTCGGACGCCACTCCGTCTTTACCTAAGGAGGAATGCCCTGAAGTCGACAACGAGCGTCCGAGCAGCATATCTGACTTCGACCGGCCGTCGTCTGTCCGCTCTGGGTCGTTCTTCCAGGAATTGTCCTTCGACTCAGACTCTCCTCGAGGCAGCTTGGCGTCAAGTCGCCTTAGTGGTGTGTCTGGCCCGCATGACGAGTCCCCTGCTGACCCGTTCCGCTCTCGTGAAGATTCGTACGCTGACTCCAATCGGTCACGCGGTGATTCGTACGCCGACTCGATTCGATCGCGCAACGATTCCTACGCTGACGTGTTCCGGTCGCGTAATAACTCGTACGACGAAGTGCTTCGCTCCCGTGGAGACTCGTATGCTGATGTTCCGTCCAAAACGGAGTTTGATGAACACAATCTGAGTGACGAAGAGACCCACAACACCCCCAAGTATTTCGATACGGACAGCGATAGAGGGAGCTTCATCAGTGACTCTCCTGTATCCGGCCAGAACAAGATTGACAAAAACGAAGAGCAGGAAGAAGAGCAAGAAAGTCGCAAGAAAACGGGCAGTCGTTGGCGCGCCACGAGCGTGCTCAGCGCGCTATCAAGTCGTCGATCGAGCAAGCCCACGAGCTCGCCGACGTCATCCCTCGAAGACGAGGAGAAGGGCACGGATCAGATGAAGAACCGCTCGAGCACGTTGCCTTCAGTCGCTGCCAGCGGCTTGAGCTCTGTTGCTGGAATGCTCAACCGCAAGCTTTCGATCCCGGTGGGCAACAACAACACTACCAAGTCCTTTGAGGAAGACATTGAGGAAGCGTCCGTGTATTCGCCGCCGGCGCAAGCTTCCAAGAGCAAGTCTCGTTTCGGCCGCTTCACTGCGCCAACTGTGTCCAAGCCGGCATTCCCGACTCGTTTTGCGTGGAAGAGCCGAGGTCGACGCGATACGAACGAGGACGACGACACCAGAGCCGCCTAATCTATCCGACTGAAGACAAACTTGCTGGAAGGCATTTACGCATCCACGACATGTGTGCGTGGACTCGTTTGTGCGTGTACTTTATGGCTCAAATAAACATGTTTTAGCTACGTCAAGACTTTGTAGTAGTCCAAGCTCTAGGACTGTTGCACTTGTCGTTAATCTTGTCGTTGGCAAGTCGAGTGACGAGTTTGTTCATGGCATGTAGCTTCCCGTTGTACACGTAATGGTATGGATACGGTGATTGCTGTACTGCACCGGCGAAGGTGGGAGCACTCTCGGTTTTGCTGTACTTTGGCGAAGACACTCCCGGGTCTGTTGTTATGGACGTGAGTTTGGAGTATCTGCGTTCAAGGAGGAGTCGTAGTTGATAGAACCAAGCCACTGGCGCGATGAACGCTGGTGAACCAGAGGATTTCTGGTTCAGCAGACGACCAAGCGCAGAGCTTCTTGGACTTCCTAGTGTAAATCTCTCGGACCAAAGTTTGTGGAGTGCAATGTCGCTATCATCAAACTCACGTAGATTGAAGAGAACGATAGCTCGAAGCAGAGTGAGCTCTGCGTCGTGATCCTGCTTGCTTGTCGAGAGATCACTGAGATGTTTGAGAGCAGCTTCATGGTGATGCCGTTGAACGACATCAGATTTCAACGAGACGATGACCGTCTTGGTGGAATGGTAGTACACGTACAGGATTTCCCACGGAAGGAGCAGCAGATACTCGTCACTTCTCTCCAAATAATCACCCAAACGTTCATGTAACGATGCCGACTCGTAGTCGTCTGCGATGTCTTCTAGCCGAAGCCCCAAGAAGCGTCGAGCTGACCGTAGAAGCAGTCGTACCGAGGTCAACAACTTGGTATCTAGTACGACTAGTTCACTAGTGTCATGAGACGTCAGAAGATATCCAACAGCGAGGAAAAGGCTGCTGAGTCCACGCAGTTTAAATGGCGCACTGGAGCACTTGCAGATAGGCATAAAGTGCACGGATGCTCGGTCGAAATCGCGAGCTAGAAAGTGTCGATAGCCAACGTCGAAAGCAGCGAGATGGACCCGCTCTTCATCTTTGACCACTCGAGTTAATTCGATCTCGAGATGTTGCATCTTATCTCCATCGAAGCTTGTGGTAGTTGCTTGGCTCCAAAGAAAAACTAGAGCCTTCGGATGACGCTGCAGTGCTGCTTGTTTACAAGCACTGATTGCAGTATTGAGGAGCTCAACGCCTTGTTTATTGCGCTGTTGAATAAGGCGAAGAGCACCTGAGCAGTGCATGAGCGTCAACGCAGCCCAGTTAGCTTGACTGTCTTCCATTATAGTACAACAGTCCAGCAGATGTTCAATCCCTTTCTTGATATCACACGAGCCTTTAAGTAAGACACCGATCCATTCCAACGAGGTTTTCTTCAACGCGAGTGCGCCACCGACATGAAGTATGCCAAGTCCGAAGCGAATTCTCTTCTGGAACGCTTGTAGTTCTCTTTCAGGCATCAGAAGTTTCTCTCTTTTAGAGTTAGAAATCAAGAACTTGTCCCTTAATTCCACGTATATCGCCGCACAGCGTCTTGCAGTATTTATCGCCGCTAGACGCTGGTCACGTCCAAGACGCAACAGAGCTGACAAGAAGAGAGCTTCAGCTAGTGCAACTTGTGTCTGTTTGCGACTGGAATACGATTGTGAAGACAATTCGTGCATACTCTCGAGCCAAGTCACCGCTTGAGTTGCTACACGCTGGGCTTGTTTCAAGTATAAAACATCCTTGGAAACCAGAACACGTACGACCTCGAGTTCAGCAGCTAGGAGACACACCTTCGGGTCACTTCCAACGGGTAGGGACCGTAAAGTCACATGGGCCTCTGTAAGCTGATGAGCCCAAATTAACGCATGGACTTCACGGATCTTGGCTCGTAGCTCTACCTCGTCTTCAACCGGAGAGAACCGCATTGGTCCTGAGCTCGTCCATTGCTTTTGCATCTCCACCTCAAGCTCAGCACGTTTACGATCACGAAAACGCACACGTCGGTGCGTTCTCGACAGCTCGTTGGGATTTTGTGGAGCTGGTGGATACCAAAGCTCAGCGAATTGGCGGGACGACAAGCCACGCACTGCAACGTCGTCAACACTGACGACGACGTGTCCTGTATGAATTCTCGCTATTCCTCGCCATTGATTTTCGTTCTGTTTAATTGCAACTGCAAGTTCTTGTCTGGTCACGCGTTGCACTACGTACTCGCGACTGAAAAGCTCTCTGGAAAACGTCAGCGCTGCGTTAACGCGGTCACAGGGCAAAAACGCCTCGTACTCGCCGAAATCAATGGAGGCGCTCATTTGCGTGTCAATTGGAGTAGCGCAATCTCAACTGACCAGCAGCTGAGTGGAGATATGCTGAGCTATATTCAGCGAGTTAGCTTGCGGACGTCCTGGAGTCTGGTTCCGTCCGAGAACAGTACTGGAGAAGTAAAATAAAAAAGTTTGACAAGCAAAAAATGGCTACATTTGCTCAGAATGTGATTTGATTGGAGGTTGAAACTGTTTAAAACTGTCAGAAGGACGCAGTTACCACATCGAAGACAAATGGATACATACAATCTGTAGTATAGAATTATTCTAGCTACCTAACCTGATGAAGACAACGCTCCTGGCCACGGTCTCTAGCCGTTTGCAGCTGCGAGCTCAGTACGCCGGGGGCGCGTCTAGCATGTCGTAGTGGTTGATGAAAAAGAGGGAGATGGGCCAGAAAACGAAGAAGCCGATGAGAGTGCCGGCCAGCACGTCGGTCGGGTAGTGCCGGCCGAGCGCCACGCGCGAGAAGTTGATGATCAGCGCCCAGACGATCGAGACTGCGACCAGCACCGCCGGCGACAAGCCATAGAAGAACGCACGCAGGATCCACGGGTGCGTTTCAGCGATGTAAACGAGCATGGCTACCATGGCCCACACGCGCGTGGAGTGGCCGGACGGGAACGAGTGCTCGTCCGGACCTACGAAGCGCATGTCTGCCTGGTGGAAGGGCGGTCGTTGACGATGGAAGATGAATTTAAGCACCATAATGGCAATAATGTCCACTGTCATGACCGTGAAGAGCGCCGACAGCAGCATCTTGGTGGCCGGCTCGAAGGGGCCGATGAGACCGGCCACCCAAAGCAGCCCCATGAGCGGCGGAATCGTCAGGATCCAGCTACATAAAAAGAAAACGCAGATGATTGTCAATACGTTGTCGCTAACGAGTCTACCACACACACAAGCAATAGCAACGTACAGGAAGCCATCTCCCGAGTGCGAGAAAATCTCCCAGCACAGACGCGGCGTCGGGTCGCGTCCGAAGCGGTGGTATAGCTTAGTGGACCATGTCAGGTCGTACGCGTACAGACGGTCAGCAAGGCTCATCGTGTGCCGATCGTCTTCCTGCTCGAGATCTGGCTTGTCGTCGACGCCCACTTGAGGAATCGAGCCGTAGCTGCTCATGCTGACGGAGGGGGGAGAAGCGATCGCCATTTGATTGGCCGAAAATCATCAGTGTCTTGCACAGACAGGCAACAAAGTACGTGTTCGAGTGTATCCATGTGTCGCGGACTCAAATGATGTTACTGCGTCGTGTGCAACTCGCAATGTGACAGTCATTTCACATTGTGAGGGTTTCGCTGTGAACAAGACGCCGTAATTTTCCTGGTTAAAAAATATCTTAGTCTTTTCCTTCGATAACGGTTGTTGTCGACTCGAGCTCCCGACGTCGCATCATACTTGTTTGTCTTGAGAGTCCCCGACACAGCAAGACGCTTTTGGTAAGCGTCAATTCTTCTAGCTGCCAGTGGTGCTCCAACCTCGCAGCGCACCTTGCAGTGCAGACTACTAGGTACCCATTACCAGAATGATTAACACAATTGCTGTCCACTTCGACAGAAGCACACCCAGTAAAGTCCATTCCATGGAGAAGCTTGCATGACAGTCTATTTCATTCAGTCTTCTTTAACAAAAACATACTTCAGTACTCATTTAGTCTTGCCTTTTGATGGGCAAGTGCGATCTTCGCTGATCATTTCGGTCGGGCAGCACTTTAAAATTGTAGTATGCAGCAGCTCCGACGAACCCGTGCCAGCAGCCGTGGAAAAAGCGGAACGGATCTGTATCGTCGTCCAGACCACGTACGAAGCACAAGATGCCGCATACCAGTAGCAACAGCCCTCGCCGGAACTGCTGGTAGTCGTACGTGGGCACGCGCCTTCGCATTGCATACGTCATGAGCAGCAGCACGAAGCTGCTAGCAACAGGAATCACGGAGTTGCGTTCATCCCACGGATTTTTTTCTTGGAAGACCAATACCATCCCCAGGAAGAAGTACTGCACGTAACGCTCCAGAACTGGGTGAACCCCGAGATCCATGAGATGAATGCTCCACATCACGAAGCTCATAATCGAGCCAATGTTATCGAGCCGATGCCATTGTCCTTCAGTAAGCCACAACGGTCCATCGATGCTGTCACACACGTGGTACATGAAGCTGGTGGCCATGGTGAACAAACCGATGAAAGCCTGCAAAAGTAAGATACTGGTGTTAAGACGCCTGATTGCTCGATTGCCTGAGCGGATGACAGCGCACCTCGAAGACGAATTGCCGGCGGTAGAGGCTGTAGATGGCGGGGAACATGCAGAAGTTTGTGATCCCCGTCACCGCCAGCATCATCGTCATCTCAAAGGAGCTCCTCATTTTAGACAGCCGCTTAAAAAAAATGAAGTGCATTCACTTTTACCTTTTAAAGTCATTGAACAGGATATCACATTAGAAAGTAAATAAATTGGCCGCTGCTCGTATAGGACGTGTCAACATACAGATATGAAGCGCGTCAATTTCTATTCTATGTTGCCGAAAGGCTTCAACGTGATATATTTCTTTTAATTTCTCGGGATTCCCCCAATTGTTGGGGGGCAATCGCATTGTGTAGCCATTTAGCATGTGTACAGCGTCGGTCGGTACCTTGCTTCGCAGCACCGGTCAAAATGCTGTAATCTCAAATCTCTCACCTGCACGAGAAGCGAGTATTCCACGTCGTTAACCCCCCCTCGCACTTACGGCTATTTTCGGTCCCTGTCTACGACCACATGTTGTATGTACAACATGTTAAAAATAGGCTAAACTTGAATTTTGTATTGACCTCCGTAAGTACGAATACGTTTTCTGCACTGCGGGAAGATCAGACGCTCGGTGATACATTGATTGCAAGCTTCTTCGCAGCGCTATGTAGCCACATGCTGTCTAAGACACCCACGCTGCGCCAACAAACCTGAAGAAGACGTATATCCAACATATTAGAAGTGTCCCTTTTACAGGGCTTGAACATGCCATGTACGAAGCGCAATGGCTATGTGTACAGTCATCAATGATTGCAACACATTTATATTGAATCAGGTTAGGTATTCATTGACAAGCCCACTCCTACTCGCTATCGTCCTCTCCAGCACATCCCTCCCCACCACTTCTCTCTTCAGCGCCGACATCAGTGTCGGAACCAGCGCCCCCCTTCACAGTACCGCTGCCAGCACCTCCTTCCTCCGCACCGCTGCCTTCGGAACCAGCGCCCCCCTCCACAGTACCGCTGCCAGCGCCTCCCTCCTCCGCACCGCTGCTTTCGGAACCAGCGCCCCCCTCCACAGTACCGCTGCCAGCGCCTCCCTCCTCCGCGCCGCTGCCTTCTTCCGTATATCTAGCGGCGCGTCGGCGCTTCTTTGCCGGGCTGCGCATCTGGATTCCACGACCAACACGAGGGTGAGGCCGCTCCTCTCCGTTCTTCCACATGACATGCCAGATTTGGTGGCATGTCATGGTGTTTCCTGGGTAGTGGCCCGGCCGGACTCGGTCACAGAGGTAGACACTGTGCATGAAGAAGTACTATTAGTCAAAGTACGATTGCATAGGCCACTGTCACACTTACTACTTGTTGCCGTCGCTGCATGCCTCGCAATAGAACCTCGTTGCACTGCGCTGGCCGACCTTCTGCTTGCGAATCGAGCAGACCTTGCACTGGTGCTGTGGCCTCTTCCGAACACCTTCCCGGATCTGGGTCCACTCTGGAAACTCGGTCAATTTGTGGGCAGCTGATATCGAGGCCACATTTTGGTCGGAAGGTGCTGGAGAAAATGTCTGCATGATAATAAACGAGTCAGATACGATACAACATTTACCACATGATCGCCGGCAACCATGTAGTATATACCTCATCAATGAAGTCAGCCGAAGTGACCTGCAAAAGCTGCGCCTGTAACTCTGCTCGAAACTCGGCATGATCAGCACCTTCACCAACCATTTTCCGAGCCTCACGGAAAATGATATAGGCATTCACGAGTGCCATGTCGACTAGGCCTAATAAGACCGTCTTGTAGTACTTTCGAAAGCGCACCGAGAGTTGCAGCGAATAGCGCTGTAGCCTTAGCTGGTCGTGGATATCAACCCCGCCCATCCAGCGATGATAGTCGCGCATCGCTGATGGGCAGGGTATGATTTCCTATCTGCCGCCACGTAGATGCCGCCCTTCGATGGTACAACAACAACAGCAAAAGTTAGGAAGCCGTCGTCACTAAGACACGACCCAAAAGTAACTTACCGCAGGTCTCAATAGATGTACTGCTGCCAGTCGAGAGAAGGTAGACAGGAAGGCGGTCCCACCAAAGCATTACCTGTAGAAGATCGCAACCCTTTGCGACGGCGATCGTGCTGGTCCCGCGGGGGATATGAGCTGGACGAGTTGCTGCTTTGGTCACGAGAGCTGGCGAAAACCCTTTCTTGTTTGGCTGTATAGTGCCAACCGTGTATACATTCCGAGCCAGAAGCTGCAAAGCTAGTTGGATCGACGTATAGAATCGATCTGTCACCACAGCGTGGTACACACCTTCTTCTGGGACAGGAAGAACTTCATGCAGATAACGGATAATCGCTGCAGGGCCAGAGTTCGGGTCTGCTGAAAATCGGGTCGTCGATTGACCTCCGAGCTCGTCTGAGTGCTGGTTAGTCCCACAAAATACTTCCAGACTTCGATGCAGCACAATACAACATTCCAAACAATACAGAGGTAGACAAATACAACATGTGAGACTTAGCCAAAAAAAAATACTCCACGATGGAGGCCGTCAAACTACGTACCGTAGACAATACGCTGTGTCAGCACAGCATGTCATAAACAGTTTTGTGCCCCATTTGTGGGGCTTGTCCTTTATAAATTGCCTGGTCACGTTGTGACGACTTCTTGATGGAATCATGGCCTCGTCGAACGACACAACGGGAGGAACGTTGTATCCCCTTGCCAACGTCTGCTGTAGCGTGTCCACTACGGAGCGGACTTTCCAGGCGCGGTCCGTTTCAGCTCTCGGGTCTGTGTTGTCGGTAAAATGCAGGTTTTGCATGATGCGCTCAAAGCGCGACTTCCCCACGAAGTCGCCAAATGTGCCTTTTGGGACAGCGCCTACCCGGGTCGTTCCCCAGTGATCCGCAAAACGGCGCTTGTGAGGGACCAACATCCTCGCGATAAGGAGCCCGATACAATGCACAATGTCCTCTGGCTTTATGTCCTTGTGTTTCTTGGTCTCCCGCAACGTCACAGCTTCCCTAGTCAAGTCTGCATCATCAGCCACTCGCTTCGCATGTATTCTGTCGACCCGTCCATTGAGATGCTGATGATAATATCGATTACTCTCAGTAGCTATCCGGCGCCAAAGCCGACGAGGCATGAAGAAGAAGAAGAGTTGTAATGAGGACTCGGCTACTTCAATCGCTGCCTCCGTTGGTCCATTGTCACCACTGTATAGACTCGGGTATGGTTCTGCTCGTTCAGGATGCGATGCGGTATCTAAACATCATACAACATATACCACATAAGTTTCATGTTGTATATACATCATCTCACAAACCTTACCAAACTCCCAGCCGTCTACTCGCATCTTCTTCAGAGCAGCATCATCCTGCGCGAGCGCTTGCATCTCGTCTTTTGTCAGCGTGTTCCAATTGTTTGTGGTTGTGTTCCAGGCACGTCGCAGCTTGCCGATAGCTGCCTGCAGACGTCGCTTTTCCAGCTCTCTTTGGGCTTTTCTCTTGTCACGATTGAGGAGCGCTGCACCGTCCAAACCACCATCACTATCACTTGAAAGAATTTCATCTGCATCTTCGCTGAGAAGGTCGTCGGCCGTGTGCTTTGCAGACAAGTCCTGCTCCTCAATATACCAGTCATCCGAATCTTCGCCTTCGCCATCCAAGTCCGAGTTGAGAGCTCCATTATCATAATCTTCAACGGATGCATTCATAGCTGGAGCGGAAGACGTGAGTGGCTCAGTCGTATCCATACTCAAAACCCTGTCCCAAAGTAGTTCACATCACGCGTCAATATACATCTTCTATGCGCTCACACATGCAGTATATATATCATCGCAGAAGCTACCTGGCCGTTTGATGTCTGGTTGGAGGCAGGGCTGTGGATTCGAGTGGTATTGGTGGTGATCTGAAACAACATAACATCAGATACAACATTAAAACAATTAGTTAATGTAGTATGTTCAGCATGTCGAGAATCACGTACTTTGATGCAGACAGCATACTCTCGTCGTCTGCATCTGAATCCTCAACTGGTTCAGCAAGGTGCGGACTGGCGGGTTTCTTCTGCTTCTTCGCTGCGGGAGACTTTGACGATTCCTTCCTCCTTGCTGCTGCTAGTGCTTTCAGCGCTGCTTGGCGCGCTTCAGCCCCGCTGCGTTCTTCGTCGACCACGTGCGCACGTTCCCTTGCTTTCTCGGCATCACGTCGTGCAGATATAGACTCCACACGGGCTACAGCTTCCATTTCTTTGAACGCGTTCCTTTCCTTCGCCAAAGCTTCGCGCTGGGCCTTGGTCATCTTCTTCTTCCCTTTTCCAGGTTTTTTCTCCGCTTTGGCCTTAGCTGCGAGACAAGCTGCCCGCAGCTTCTTTGCCGCTGCAATGTACGACGCCGTCTTTCCAACAGGTGGTCGGCTCGGAAGCGCCGGAATGGATTGCCCACGAGTCATAGCCGTCGTCGTCTGCCTTACCTTCGTCGCGGCCACCGTAGTCGTCTACGTTGCCCCCGCGGCCTCGTTCCCGAAGTCAGCATCCGTCTCCCTCTCTCCGTTTAGGTATGCTGTGTGTTGGGCAGTCAAGCGCACCCGATCCTCCGAGCTTTTGCCTTCCAGGCGGGCGAGGAACTCTTCTGACTCGCGACGCGTTTTGCGTCGGCCAACCATCTCTGGTCCCCGTTGCTTTTTCTCGAATGTGTGAAATCAGTGGATTACACGAGGCGAGAGTCAGCAACCTTTGTGACAAATCGGAGGAGTTTTGTGTGCGTGTTCTGTGCTTTTTTCAGCCTAACCCTGTGTATTTTACTGCCTTTAACATGTTGTATATACAACATGTGGAAAAACAGGACCTGGCACACCTTTTGGTCACATGTCGTCAAATACAACCTGTAAGTGCGGGGGGGGGGTTAAAGAAAGCCGATACATGTACAGTACTGCTGTTTCTACTGAGAGGAAATACGAAAAACACCGTCAGTTTAGGGACTCAACACTGCATTTATCATATAGCACCCATGTATAGCCAGGGCATCCCTGTGTAGCACCCAATGACTCGCTGGCAGTTTTAATTGGCCAAATTTCTACAAATAGTTGCAAGCCTAGATATCGACCTCACTCGACGATGAGCGCGCAATTTATCGATGGGTAGGTGCAGCTAGTCGATCGGGTAGGCTATGGCCCTCGGACGTACGACCTGCAGAAGACCAAGGCACGCATACCGTACAGCAAGGACCGATACGTGCTGGGCGCGTTCTCATGGGCGCGTGTGATGGATTCCGAGGCACCAGCACTGGTGTTCGTTGGCTCGTGTGACTCAATGGCAGGGGTACGTGGGTATACACGTATTCCGAACGACCCTCAGCATATCTTTGACATCCTCGGAACAACCAACATTCGGGAGTTCGTGAAGGAGGGTGCAAGGGAGGAGCAAGAAGAAGGCCAGTTCTGCCCGACAGCGTACACCTGCCGAACTACTACTCCAAGCTCGTATTTCAGCACAACGAAGCCTATATGTATAGTTCTATATACTGGCTTCAAACGAAAAACCGTGAGTCCCCCATACACGTCGACCACGGGCGTGTGATTTCGTACCTGCCCCCGTGCGCGAAGACGGCCTTCAAGATTTGGGTGATATTTCCTCCGGCTTCTAAGGCGACCACATCCTTCAACTACGGGAACAAGGAGGACTCCTTGAATAGGATGCTACGTACGCCTGGAAGCTCCGTGCTTATCCAACGACCCGGCGATGTCGTGTGCTTGAATAACCTGGTGTTTCACTCGGTATTTCTCGTCTACCAGAAGGGCACTGCTGAAGAAGACAAATGGGGCGGTGTTTTTGGCGACGTTGTGGTTTGTGAAGTGGACCGCGTTGCGTCGTTTCGATATGCAACCAAGCTGGCATCAGGAAGCAAAAAGGATTCTGTTGGATCGTGGGAGTCTCTGCTAACAGCGTACTGTACGATGGAGGGACGTAGGCAAACTTCGAGCATGAGAAGAAGCTATTCTACAAAAAGTTGAAGCTACCAGCAAAGTCAGAGAAAGCTCGTGTAGGTGCGAACGCGAAGAAAGAGAAGAAGCGGAAACTGAATGAGAAGCTAGCTGCCGTACGGGCTGCCAAGCACCAAAAGTGACTGCAGTACACTTTGCTCATAATCAGAATTCTAATTTCTGATAATACATTTCTTTTCGCATCCTAACTTGCAATTATTATTTAGGGGGCTGTTTCGACGTACAGGTAGTTTTCAAAGTACTACTGCTTAAACTTGTACAAGCTACATTTTGTCAAATATAAGTTCTAAAACACTTGTAGTTACGGTCGCCTCCTCTGAAACTATGGGTTTTGCAGCCTATCTTGCAAATTAACGATTATTGAACCAGGCTTGTTTGAAATATCATCATAACACCTACCCTCATCATTTGTACAAGCCAGATTTGGTCACTCTGTATAAACGACATCCGTGCGCCCTTCTTTTAACGTAAAGATCCAATAATCAAACACTCTGATACAGCTATCTCGCAGCCTAACTTGCAATATTTGTTTTCCCATACATTTGTAAAGTATTTTGATATGCATATGTATCTCTTAAACTTTCTACACGCCAGATTTGGCGTCTGTATATTAGTCTTGGCGCGACAGAGCCTAAGTGCGCTGCTTCTCCAGGATTCAGAATCTGGATCGGCCGCAGCCCTGGTGTTAATTATAATCAGAGAGTGTCAGTAACGACGGATTCATTATTCACTGAGTCGTAACATCGGTTTGTACAAGCGGGAGAACAATAGGGCTGTCACTGAGGTCATGTCAGTGTGATTTTTGTATAGTTTTTAAAATGCAGCCTATCTTGACCGTCGATAAGCACACCATCTTTGTGAGTTGTTTGCATCAGTACGGTAGCTACTGAATCACTCCTACAAACCAGAATTCCCGTAGCCGACTCTCGTTTAGGGATAACTACTTGAATTCATAAATGCATTCACCGTTGCTGCAGCGAGTTTCTTTACTACTCATGAAGTATTGTTACTCTATTTCTAACGCCGGACCAATTGCGCGCGGCCTACCAGCACTTCCCGATGCACCTCTACGCGACTTCGCCCCTCTGTAAACCAGCGTTTCTTTTTGTGTATGTCAGTAACGCCGCGCACCTCCATAGCGTACAGCGTGTGGATGCAGGATCCGTACTTGAACCAAAAGTTGCACGGACACGAGCGGGATTGCATATTCACGGGCCAACCCGATGCAGGCATTCCCTGCGTCTCCATATTTGCAGTGAGCTTGTTCAGTTGTGAAGAGATCGGCAGGTCCTCTACTGTCTTCTTTCTCATTTCGTCATAAGCGCGGGGCGACGGATGACTAACAACATCGACTACGTCACGTGACGAAATGTCGGGAGGATTGGATAGCAGAAAAACAATGCTATTTCTCGAGGTGGCGTACACTGACAGTAGCCCAGCTCGAGCCATCGCTTTGACACGTCGCACAAGTCTTGCGTCTGGCTCGCAAGTAGCTGTGAAGGGTCTTGCAGCGACACTTTCGCTTTCACATAGGACCCTCAGAAGTGGTATGAGAGCGCCGACCTTGAGCTTTCGACGCAGAGTGACGTCTCTTTTAATCGCTGCGTTGTAAGCCTCGCAGGGGTTATTGGTGGTTGCGAAACCGCTTGGTGTGTGGAAGCACTGCCACCGCCCGAATCGTTGGTTCAACCACACTTTCGAAAAGTACTTCGAGAAGTCCTCTAGATCCTTGCGCTTTGCCCAGCGCTCTTGCACTGCAGTTAGCTTATCCTGGAAGGCGACGTCGCTCGTGGTATAGTGCAAGTCGTGGACATCAGCCATTACTAATGTTGCTATGCTGAAATCCATGGAATTTGTTTTCTGGAATATCTTCTTGGCCACATGAAAGTAATACATCAAGTATGTATACTCGCAGTCTTCCCCAAACACCTCTTCAACGGCATTCCACTGGGCTGCGTCGGCATCACCCATCACGTAGCGAACAATTAGGGGCTTACCCACAACAGTAAAATAAACGCGGCGAAGTAGCTGAAGCACCTCGGTGTGCTGGTCTTGTTGCTGCTGCGACACAATAAAGACCGCCAAGAGATGGAAGTGTCTCGCTCTATCTGAGATGCCAGCAACGATGACCGGGTAGCCTACTTGAGTGAGCTTGTATGTGGCGTCCAAGTGTAGGATAAATGATGCAGCGTCCCGATTGGCACGGCGTAGAAGTTTCTTCGTGCTAACTCCAATCACGAAGGGATTAGCGTCGCTCCCGTTGCCTATGACATCATTGCCATTCACATCTGTGCGTTTCGTAAACGGGAACGCAGCTGCCTCTTCTTCTTGACCGGTAAAAAAGGTTTCCTGCACCTTACGGTGAACGGCCGCACGCAGGTCGCTGCCACCAAGCCGCCCCGCGACATGGTGATGCGCAAAGCGCTGGACTCTCACCAGCGGTGGTGCAGTGGCCTCAGTTAGATTGAAACGCTGGGTTAGCGCGTTCCAAATCCTTTTCGGCTTGAGACCTTGACTAGCCCAGTCCATCACTGCCGTTTTCACTGCGTTTGTTAGCACGGGGGCGCTTGCGACGCGGGCAGGGGTAGCATGGGTGTAGGCTTCTTCGATCGTTACGAGATGCGTCTGCTGGTACATCATGACGCGACGTCTCCAGGGGCAGACAGCAGCTGCCAAGACGTCCTCGCAGGCCTTGCACGCGCAAGCCAGGCGCTGCATCCGCATTGGATGCGGAGTGGCGTTCATGCATACATAACACTGTTTCAGATCACTTTTTGCAACACGGAACTTCTTAAGGCCTCCGAGTAGACGGTCGGCCTCGATCTGGGGCGTCGCAGCTGCGAGTGTCTGCCAATGGTGTCGGAAAACCATGAGGGGTGCTGGGGGGAGCTGGGGGCTGGCTTAGCGGGGTGAGATTGCTGAATGGTGGATAGTAAAGGAAAACCCGAACCCCTCGAGTATTACTGTATGCTACTTTTGTGATAGAACTTTGACCATTGGCCAAAATAATCTGCCGAGCTAGCGTCTCCGGGACAAGAGTGCTGCTGGTGGTCTGGTGGTGTCACAATCACAATAACGAGTGGCTATTACGTATCGGTCGGTGCCACATGGATTTCTGGGGTGCTGATAGTATACTTTTGGTGTTTTGTTAACAAAGACTGGTGTAAACAGTACGTACTGTACCAAGTTGGTACGACATCCAAATACCGGTATCAAGTGCGGGCTAACCCTAGAAGACAGTTTCTTCGTGCAACATTCAAGCGACAAAGGTTGATTGTCGTCACCACGAAAAGGCAGAGCACGTACGTCACTCATGGCCATTCCGCCACCCGATCGGAGCTGTTCACAACCTCGCGTGAAGGCTTCTAAACGATTCCTCATCGATAAAATTCGATACTGTACCACATAAAACAACTGGACCAATTGACTGCAACATGCTACGTTGTTTCAGCTGCTTCAGCCGTCGAGGTGCGTTAGAAGACACGACCGAGGACAATGACATGTCCGCTTCGGCGATCCTGGGTCTTGGCCAGCGTGACAAGAAGCAGCCCACGTTTGAAGATAACTACGACATTCTGTACCAGATCGGCGAGGGCAAGACCGGTCAGGTTTTTGTGGCCAAGAAGAAGCGGCCACACTATCGCACTCGCGCCAAGACGCTGGCAGAGGAGCAACAGCGCGAGCGTGAAGAACGCGAGTGCGACGAGGAAGTGGCCGTCAAGTTCGTACGACAAGAGTATCTGTCCACGCCTAATCGCGTCGAAGCATTGCAGTCCGAACTTGCCATCCTGGAACACGTCAAGCACCCGGGAGCTCTCCGATTACGGCAGGTTTTTCAGGACGAGGACAAGTTCTCCATCGTGACGGATAAAGCGACGGGCGGTGAGATCATGGACGCTATCTGCAGGCCTGGAGCTCCGCGTATTCGTGAATGCGATGTGGCTGAAATTGTCCGTCAGTTGCTAAGTGTGCTGGCTTACTTGCACCTTAACGGAATCACACACCGTGACCTCAAGGTGGAGAACATTATGTGCAAGACCCAGGGCCTGCGTAGTGGCGTAGTGCTTATCGACTTCGGCTTGGCTCACATGGGTACAGTCGGTAGCAATGAAATGTCTGGTATGAACGGAACGCCACACTATATGGCACCAGAGATGTTCCATAAGCACGGATATTACGGTTGGGCTATCGATCTCTGGTCACTTGGTGTCGTCACGTACGTCCTACTATTTGGACAATTCCCGTTCGACGCGCGCTTTATGTCACAAGTGGAAGACAAGATCGTCAAGGGCGAGTTCGAGTTTCCCAAAGAGCTCGAGTCGATGGTGTCTCACCAAGCCAAAAAGTTCATTGAGTATTTGCTAGTGCTAAACCCGAGGGAGCGCCCCCCTGCTGCAATGGCACTGCAACATCCATGGCTACAAACAGACTCGTCATCAACGAACCCATTTACGGATGCGCACATGGCTGCACTTTCAAAGTTCTCCGAAGGCAAGAAGACCTTCGTACCTCCTGCTCCTAAACAATACGTGCCGCCAACGCACATTCCGAAGGAAGGAGTTATCATTTATGAAGGATAAGAGCACGGTACAAGCTTGTTAATAAATCGCCAACTCTGTTCGTCGTTATTTCCTGATGGCTACTGTTCTCAGATGGCTACATGTGTAGGTTTTGCTGACTTAATGGTCAAAAAATGTGGATGATAGTGTAGAGCACAAGCCCCGTGGCCGCCATGAGTACAGGAGCATCCATCGTATGTGGCGCGGTGGCTTCTGCATAAGCCACTACGAACGGCAAGATGATCATCGTGACCCACAGCTGCATCGGCGTCTCAAAGTCGGAGTATTGCAGAGCTGGGAACACAATTCCGGACAGGAAAACACACGCTGAGCCTTCGAAACTGCGCGTGTATTTGCGCTTGGAGCAACACGTGCTAGTCGAGTATTTGTGCTTGCCAAAGGCAATACCGATCGGTTCCGCAAGTCCATCACCGATGCTCGTCACGAATACGAGAATGAAAACGAGATCGGACTGCGTCGTACGGGCAAATAACCAGCGGAAAAACAGCAGCACGAAGAGACCAGGAAACACGTTGCCAGCCACGATCCACTTGAGTGTATGCGGTCGGTCTTCAGGTCGATCCAGGGAGTTAAATTGCAGCATGAAGAGCGTGGAGCGCTCGCGGATAGGCTTGATGAGCAGCAAGAAACACAAGAGCGTCACAAAGTCCCCCCACGCTAACGCTAGTGGTCCGTTGCACGCAGCGCATGCCTCTTCGTCCGGTTTAACCAATAACGGCACTAAATAGGCTGCCAATAACTGCAATTTTCTCGTGTAGTTGACCTTGAACACCGAGTTACGCTCGGTAATAACGTAACCAGCGTCGTCTACGATGCAGAAGAAGCGGCAGATGATGCCTCCAAGTGTGGATACGCCCATCATGATGAGTACCTTGGGCAGCAGGAAAAACCAGAAGCTCGTATTGTTCCATAGCTCGGGTTCCAGAAACGTCGTGAGGCCTGCGAGTGCTGCAGCGAACAGTGTCATACCAACAAGGAAGACGAAGTCGAAAGTGCGCGTCCAGCGCGTGTCATAGCGCCCAGCCACTTGTCCGGCATAGATGAGATCATTTGAGTCACCGTCGTAGTCGTAACTGTCGTCATCCATCGCTATACTGCCGTAGGTTGGCACCTGCTTCGGCAGTCGGAACTTGGGGCCCGACTTTGGACGCCATAGTATACGTAGTACGAACAGGATCACCAGTAGCGAGCCCAATGGGAGTCCAAGCAGCATCGAATAGTCGGTCGTGTTCAAATGGTCGGACCAGACCTCAGGCTCTGGCGAGGCATGCGGAACAGTGACGGGGTCCACACCTCCGCCATCTACAGGCACCTCAGGAGTATCAACAGGGGGCGCCACGTCGGCCATCGGAGAAGTGTCGGACTAAGGCAAGGGTGACTCAGCTTCAGCACCAGCGGACTTGTGCTTCAATGGACGATCTTTTTGCCGCTTTAGGATTGATGTATGTACCACTAATAAATCAGATCTCTTACTCAAACCAAGTGAAAAAATCGAACTCCTTGTCTCACATGAACATGGCGTACTTCGAGCTTGTGTTTAAATCGTTTCTATTGCTGTTTTAATACAACGAAAATGCAAAAAAAAATGGTGGCGCAACTACAAGTTGGAGACTTCATAGGCTGCTTGCAGCGCCTTGAGCTCGTCCTCCGACACACCCGATGCGCTCTTGTCGTCGATAACGAACGAGTGCAGCTTAACGTTACGCAGCAGGTTGCGATCCAGGTTGATGGCCGACGCCGCGTTCTTCGCCACGAAGATCACTTCTTGCACCTTAAACTCGGTGTATGGGTAGAAGGACAGGTCTTCGGCTAAGACAGATGACAGCTTGCCGCTTTTGTAGCCTGTAAGCACAGTCTTGTTGACATCTTTAAACCTGTCCAGAGGCGTCTTGACCAAACCCGTGTTTTTGAACGCCATCTCGGGCTTCTTACTGGAACTCACGCCCAATTTGCTCTTCGCCTTGACCATCTCAGGGCGAATACTCATCTTCTTCTTCATGAGCTTGAAAAGTGAGCGCACGTCCACCAGAAGCAGCACTTTTGTCTTCTGGCGACCATCTTTACGACGGATCTCGGCGTGCTTGGCAGCAGCTTTTGCCACGGCATCGTCCAGCGAGTTACACAGCTGCAGCGGCGTCTTCGGCAGATCAAACATGGAGTCATTGGCGTCGTCACTCAGCTCCTCCGCTTCCTCATCACTGCTGGCAGAATCCTGCTGAACGAACTCAATTGCACCATCTTCATCCTGGTTGGCAGCAACTTTACGTCGTTTTTTTGCAGCTTTCTTTTGCCATTTGCTCTTGGTGATGCCGGACACTACAGACTCAATCGACGGCTTTTTCCATCGCGGGTCGCGCGTACTCGGCGGCTGGAACAAACGACCTGAGTCATCTTCAAACGTCATACCCTCCTCCATGCGGCGTTTACGCGTTTTCTTGCGCGTAGACAGCGTCTTCAACTTCTTCTGCTTGTAGCTGCTCGACATGCTTTACTTGCCGTTGTGTGACTCTTATGACCATTCACAATTAATTATGTACAATACATAAGCAACACAAAAAAACAATTGGAAGCCATTTCAAGATTGACAATGGAGTCCTAACCCGTGTCCGCGCTGCTCACCCTGCTAAGCTTCCTCCACGACGATCAGTCTATTCACCTCTTTCCGAAAAGAGTAGAGCATCCAACGAACGAAATAGGAAAGAAATTCGCAAAATTTCAACAGTTTTACAAGCTGTGAAAGTCCGCGATTGAAGATGTTGAAAAACATTTTCGCGATACGGTGGTTTAGCTTTCACCTACCATCCGTATATATCAGAGGAAGAACATGAGAGCTTTATAGCCACTTCCGGCAACACCAACAAAATTGCTACCGGCAGTGCACCTTTCGGAGGTATATTACAACTGATGCGGGATCTTTTCTCGTGCGTGGATACCACATCTGCAATGATCGGTACTTACTGTCCGCACTTGGAACATATCGAAGGTCTCAGACTCGCAGCATATACAAGAAACGACACCTCACTAGTGGGGGCTAACTCTCCAGAGTTTAGAGGCATTTTGCAAGGGATGTAGCCACTTCAAGGCGTTCGACTGGGGTAGCTTACCATGCAGCGTGTCGCGAAACCCGGGGTGTTCCGAAATAGGAAGGTTTATTAATGAGCAATAGCAAAGCAAAAGAAGTGGAGCGCCTTCACTCGAGTGCGCTCCTACATGAAGTTGAAATGGGCGCGTGCCAGCGCCCATTGACGGCATGGGCCGCGTGCCAGCAACCTCTGGCGGCACTACTCGCGTGCACCAGCCCAGCAGCCTGCTTCTTGGCGCGCGTCCCGCGATCCGATTGGGTGGCAACCCCAACTCGTGCTGCAACGTATCCAAGCTCAAACCTTGTGACAGCAATCATGGCGACAATGCCCTCCAGAGCTTGGTTGCGGATGCTGCGGTGTGTTGCTAGTCGAGTTGAGCACTGAGCTCGGCGTCTTCCATCGAATCCACATACTCCTGTACCTTAGCAGGTACATCATGAAGCAGTGCGGTCAGAGGCTCCCGGGCGTTTTCGATGGCCTGAAGGCCGATCCACGAAACTAGAAGCTCCCAGCGGTTCTGTTGCTGGTTGAAGCGGTAATCGACGAACTTCTCAACTCCGAGGAGTAGGCCTTGGCTAGACACCAGCTCCAGCAGCTCCGCGGACGTGTTCAACTCCGCATCAGCATAATACTTGAGACGGGAAGCATGCACGTCGTACTTCCGCCCTGAGACGAGATGCTCAATCTCAAATGAATGAGCGAGAGCTTTCGTCACTCTGAACGGACCGACCCAATGATAAGCAGCTTGTTGTGCGGCAGGCGTTGGTCGGTCCTCGACCACAGTACGAAATCACCGACATCAAAGTTGGCAGGTGTGCCCTTGTGTGCCGCCATGTCGCGAAGTCGCTGGCCCTCTTTGGTGCTCGTCACTTCCTGGTAAATAGCGTGCAGGGAGGAGCGAAGCTGATCGACAAACTCGCTGATATCATCCAGATCGACGACGTGTTCAGCTCGATCATCGGTAGAGGGCACCACGATAGCATCCAAAGCCGAAGATGCTGGCAGCCCCGTGAAGACTTCCACAGGAGCGTGTCCAGCAAGAGATGGGACCGGTGTATGATTCAGGTTCGCTTGGATAGCAGGCAACACGTATGGTCATTCGTGCTGATCCAGAGCGTATTCCATCAGCAACGCTCGAAGAACCTGCATGACGTCCTTGTTCAGTCGTTCGACCGTTCCATTCAGCCATGGTGAGTACACAGGCGTAAATTGGAGCTCCATTTTGAGTCTCGCCGCCAAATGCTTGACCATCTCGTTACGGAAATGCGTTCCTTGGTCGGATAGAAGCGTCTGAGGCAATCCGTATCGGGCATACCAAAGCGTCAATGCTTCCGCAGCGACGTAGGCAGTGGGCGTAGCGCACGGAAACAGCTCACAGAAGTGTGACAGACCATCCTTCACAACCAGCAGGTACGCAGAGTTACCGAACCCTTCGCCTAGGAACAGGAAGTCCCAACGCACGACTTCGTTTCTCTGCGTCGTCGTCAATAGCGAGCCGTATGGACGCGGGATTTGACGTGGTCCCTTGAAATGCTTGCACAGAAGACACTCCCGCACAAACTTGGCCACTTTACCGTCCAGCTTTTCGATGGCAAAACGCTTCTTCAGAGCCAAAGCCATAGCTTCCTGGTCACGGTGGCCTTGAGAACCGCAGTGAGCGACGACAAAAATTCGGGCGAGTAAGTCCTTGGCACCAGTGGGGACCCATAGGCGGTTATCGACTGTCACCACACCAGCCTCCCTCTCCGAAGCGTTCTGCAGCCGAGAGCGTTCACAGGAGGCAGCGAGCTGAGCTGCACGGACGTCGTTCAGTGTAGGGAAGATGAATTGGTCGTCAGAGAGGGGGCGAAGCTGGGACAAATTCTCCACGGGGACAATATGACGACTGCGCGTCTGCACAGCAGCCACAGTCACGATGACACGCGCGTGCCATCGTGAGACGATGTCGGCCCAAACATCTTTCTCGCCGGGAATGTGCTCGATTGTGTAATGAAGGCCACAAAGACGCATCGCCCAGCGCTGCAGCCGATCACGGACATGTTTTTTCAGCTCGACATTGGGCGCAAAGATTTAAGCCGGGTTGGCGTGATGGCAGTACAAATGAAATCCGTTGGGGCGAAGCAGTAGATATTCAAGGTCGTGACAGGCCTTGACAATCGGGTAGGCCTCTTTTTCCACAACAGTCCAGTTCAACTCGTGGTGCTTGAACAAACCACCTTGCACACGATCAGCTCGTGGTGTTGCTCGTCCACAGGCAGGGATGGATCCCAATCGCGCACCTGGGTGACGACAATGGCGTAGCCCGTCGCCGAGGCGTCCGTGAAGAGAAACAGCTGAGCATTCGGGTCAGGGAAAACCATCAACGCCGAATCCTTCACCAGCGACTTGACATTACTGTAGGCAACCTGCTCGTCGACAGTCCAGGTAGTCGCCACACTCAGTGCGTTTCGGTTGCGCCGACCAAGCCTGGCCCTTTCCGCGTTCAGTTTCTCGTGTAGCGGGGCAATAATTCTCGCGTAGCCAGGAAGCGAGTCGTGCAGCCAATTCGTGGCACACACAAAGTACTGTAGGTCAGCAGCGGTTGCTGGAAGCGGAAGCTCTGCCAGTGCACTGACACGGGACGGGTCGTGGCGAACACCTTCACTGGAAATAAGGCGCCCGCACCACAGGATCTCCAGCGCATACAGTGACGACTTCGCCATGTTGAGTTTGAACTTGGCCGCACTCACAATCTTAAAACGCACTGAGCGTCTGTAAAAACTCCAAGATCGTGGGTGCGAACAGTATCACGTCGTCCACCCAAACCAGTGCCCTGTGGGGGATCAGGGGTGCGAGTTTAGCCTGCACCTGACCTTGAAAATGCAGGGCGGAGTCCATCGCTCCTTGTGGTACACGATTCGGCGTGAACACACCGTCTGGCGTCACGAACGAGAACATCTCTCGGCTGTCCTCGTGCAGGGGCGTCTGCCAAAAGCCCTGCGTAAAATCAAATCGGTCGAAAAACTGCTTGCCTTGAAACGAGTCGATTTGAGTGGCAGCCGAAGGCATGGCACCAGCAATAGGGACGGTCATTGTGTTAACCGGCCGGTAGTCGATTGTCAGACGAAATTTGTCCTGAGTGCCTGGCTTGCGTACGGGAACCACGGCACACGCCGACCGCGACGCATTGTTCTGCTCCACTAAGCCATTTCCCACGAGAGACTTCACGTATTCTCGAATAAAAGCAGCCTGTAAAGGGGCATACTTGCGCGGGGCACTGCGGTGAGGCACGGCACCTGGTCGTAACGTCACCAGGAGTGGCTCGACATCGGCCGGCGGGTCTGCTCCAACTGCCTCGCGCCAAACGTCTGGGAACTCCTCTAGCAACCCTCGGACGGTGTCAACGTTCTCCTCTGGCAGTCCATTTGCCACCGCACGGTCTAGCAGCTGGCTGAGCGAGATGATTGGCTCAGTATCTGGCTGCGGGTCAGGAAGTGCGTCTCCAACAGGAAACTCGTCCTCTGCATTGTCAAGCGGTGTGCTCCCGGCCAGTTGAGCGAGCTGCTGGTCCACATCGATGCCGAGCCCCTTTAACACATCTCGCCCTAATAAGAGCTCGTCTCCGTCGCCGCCCAGAACCAGACACGACACCGATCGCAGCGACACAAGGCCAGCCACCGTTGGCAGCTCGAGATCCAAAAGCAGCTCTTGATCGCAGATCAACCGACGCCCATCAGCCATTTCCGCCTCTGCAGGCGTACGTAGTCGAATGGTCGAGAGTGTGGGCTGCACAGCGCATAGCGAAGCCACGATTCCTTCCGGAATGATGCTCCTGTCAGCACCAGTATCGGGGACGTAAGGCACCGTAAGCAGACTGTTGATGCAAACGGACCCAGTACTCATCTTGTGACGAGCGACCATGGATCTGAGGGCACTAGCACGCTGCTCCTTGGAAGCCTGGAACCTATCTCTGGCTGCGGTTCGCTGCGCGTCCGTAGCCGTGGGGCAGTCCTTCAGCCAGTGGGGCCCTTTGCAGAACAAGCATCCGTCGTGTGTGTGGGGGGGGATTAGACGATCGGGGGCCCCGCGCGGGTTGAGAAGTCCGCGAGGGCTGTGCGGCTGCCGACGCTGTTGCGGGCGTTGAGGTTGCATGCGTGACAGTCCCTGGTCGCTGTGACTTGCGTTCTGCCGGTCGCCCAGCCTTGGTGTCGGCCTTCGTCGCATAATCGTGCGACAGCCGATGGAAACGCTGTTGCACCTTCGCGTGTTCCAGTATCAGGTCGAAGAGGGTGACGTCGTCAGATCTGCAGTCACGCCTCTCCAAGTCGATAAGCCGAGTGATTTGGGCTTTGAGAACAGGAGGCTGTAGGTTGTCCACCAAGATGCGACAATGAGCCTTCAGTCTGCTCTTGCAGCCCGCCTCGGACTCGTTTCCAGTTCCGATAAGCTTTTGCAGCCCGTTGTCCTCCACAATCCCATTGAAGTCCTCGTAATAGCGGAAGACGCGTGCGTCGCAGTCATCCACCGAGAGGTCCATCTTGAGCTTCTGGCGGAACAGAGACGCGACATCTGGCACGAACTCGTTCTTGAACGTATGACAGCGGGCCTTGACAGTATTCATGACGTCGGCATCCGTCACTGAGGCGAGCGGCTTCTTCAGCACATACGTGGCCAAATTTTTCAGCGTTTTCGGTTTCAGACAACATTTCACTGTGGCCACAACGTTCTCAAACGTATCGCCGGTTGTCGTGCAGCGGTGCCGAATCTTCTCCACGTAGCGCTCCCACTCGCGATACCACTCTATCAGAGCAGCATGGTCTCAGCTGGACAGCTCCGGTGCCCGGATGACCTCGAAGATCGGCTGGGGGATCAACATCTCGACGTCTCCGTCGGAGTCTAGCCTGGCCGACATGGTTGACGTTGAAGTTGAAGGAATCGAACTTAATGCGAACCGCACTTAAGCCAAGTACGGATTTCTAATCCGCACTTAGTCGACGAAGTCCGGTAGTGTTCACGACACAACGACGACAGCAGGTCGACGCGCGCACCGAGATACCAAGGATTAAGAAAACTTGCGCTTCGACTAGCGCAAAGCTAGCTTTGTCGCGAAACCCGGGGTGTTCCGAAGTAGGAAGGTTTATTAATGAGCAAAAGCAAAGCAAAAGAACTGGAGCGCCTTCACTCGAGTGCGCTCCTACACGAAGATGAAATGGGCGCGTGCCAGCGCCCATTGACGGCACGGGCCGCGTGCCAGCAACCTCTGGCGGCACTACTCGCGTGCACCAGCCCAGCAGCCTGCTTCTTGGCGCGCGTCCCGCGATCCGATTGGGTGGCAACCCCAACTCGTGCTGCAACGTATCCAAGCTCAAACCTTGTGACAGCAATCATGGCGACACAGCGCCGAAATGTTTGAAGTTTTCGCTTCGTATCCCAAAATCGAACTAAAATCATTTAAATTACCTGGAAATACTGCGCTGTGGAGAAGCGATTACTTTTTCCAAGAGCGACACCATGTCGAGCCACTCTCGCCGTTGAGTCGCTTTGCTCCCGTACTTGCAGCCTGTCCAAACCTGACGTCGTTAGAGGTTCGACTATCAGTTATGCTAGGAGAAAGTGAGTATCTTGACGATCAATTTCTATGGCATATTGCTAAGGCCTGTCCACTTCTTGAGAGGTTAGCACTGATCGAAGCTTCCTCTCATCATGGAGATGGACCCAGTAACGTATTTACCAGCGAAGAATTAAAAGCCCTAACGATTCTTAGCAATCTACGAGCTATCGAACTCAGTGGTTCTCGAAAAAACTATGGTATCTATTGCGTCACGCCCTCGATCTCCTGGTTCGCCCCGTGTACGTATTGATGTAGCTTTGAGGGTCAGAGATTGGACTGCTGCCGATGTTGCAGCATGCGCTCATGAATCAATCACTACTGTAGATTTTGCTATCGTCTGAAGCGAAAAAAGAATTTAATTCGAATTCGTCCGGATACGCACAACTATTCTCTACCAGCGAAGTGAGAGATGCGCTTTGAATCGCAATGGAGCAAAGCCAAGCGGCAGCTAGCGCCGAACGTCGAGTTTTCTTACGATTATCTCCGAACATAGGGAATGGCGTTACCGCAACCATAAATACAACACCACGACACGAATTTTGGCAGCTTTAGAGCGAAACGCAACCACAACGGGGCATGCACTCGGTATTATATTTTAATTTACCCAAGACCACGTGGCCTTCGTCGATAGGTTTGTCTAAATTTAGAGGTTCTAGACTGATGTGAGCCACATGTACATTATGTGGGACACAAGTATTCGCACACTTTGGGACTTCTCGATTTGCTGGAAGATCTCGATCATCGCTATGGATCAGAAGGCTTTACTACTTAAGTTGGTTCGTGCAAGGCTTAGTGAGCTGGAGAAGATGAGGACGATGCTCGTTGACATACAACGCAATATGGAGGAAATCATGGCAGCTCAGATGGAGTTTCAGGGTCGTATTGATGAGGAGGAAGCTTGCCTTTACCAGCTGAAGGCGGATTTCTTCGAGGAGGGGGCAGCTCAAGATGACGATTTCTCGTTTGGAGTTTTATTGGAGATGGCTATTCACAAGCTGAATGCATAATGCAGTGAACACGGACTGTAGTAAAGACTTAATTAAGGCTAAAACACTTACTCGAGTTCTTTTTGTAGCTTCTGTAGAGTCTTGCTTGTTGTGGCAGCGTCGGATTCGGAGATAGGTTGTTCCTTGGACAGATGCATAATGGCCCAAAGAATTCGTAGGCGCATCACTTTGATGTCGTGCTTGGTGACGTCGTAGCTTTGCTGTGTGGTGTTTCCAGTAAGGTAATTGTAGCATTGTGCTATAACTAATACGCCGCAACTAGATCCATCTGGTTGTTGCGGTGAAAACACCCACTCAACGTCCTGGATCTCCAATTCCACATCCGGCATCGAGGACGCGTGCCACCGCTCGAGGAACCCGCGTAGGCTCTTTTTTGCTTTGCTTTTTGGGTGATTCCCTTGTTCAGTAACACCCTCCCAGATCTTCATCATGTCCTTGTGATAAGAAGCATTAATCAAAGGCTCGTACATGTGTACAAATAGTCGTACACTAGTTGCCGTCGTGTGAAAACGCGTGATAATGACTCCCCAATGATTGCCGTCCAGGTGTACTGCGTGGAGGACAAAGTTAAGTTCTCCGATAGATACTTTTGGTGTAGAAGGCCACCCAATATCCCACATCAGTGACGAGATCACGTAGCAGCCACCAACAACCCCTCCAATTGTTCGTAAACAGAAGTCTATGTGACTGTCATTAAGCCAGCCCCGACATAGACCACCGAGAATGTTTTCGAAACTGATCGATCCATTTCCGTGCAGCGTCCAAAATTCCGTTAGTAAGCGACTTGATGCAAACTTTCCAATCACTTCGTTGGCCAAGTCTTGATGTCGATGGCAGATAGCTACTTCTTGTAAGCCTTGAGTCTTTGTCTCTTCTGCTAAGAGGCTCACATTTGATGGGATGATTCGCCAGTTTTGCTCTAGCCATTTCCGGTCTTCAATCCACGTTCGTCTCTTTAATTTGACATCGTGGAATATAGTCAAAGCTCCTACAAACTTGCTGCGAGATGTTGTAGATGTAGAGCAACCATTCCGTTAGTACAACCCGGTTGTAGCAACCATAATATGGCAACCTTATTGGTAAAACAACCTTACCTGCTAAACTTCCAGAGTTTCGGATCAATAGTGGCGACAATATCAAGGACGATCCCTTGATTCTTCACGCTATCTTCGAGTGGACCCGGCGAGTCCTGTTCTTTCCATGCTGTCGTGACGGCGGCTTGGAGTGATCGACTGATATCAATTGGAACTGCAAATACGTGCATGTAGTCCGTGTGCCGCATTGCTTCCCACCGACACTCGATGCTACGGGCTCTCAAATAGGGATCTTCAAGCTGAACTGGATACTTGGCAAGTGTATCCATGACAAATTTCAAGTTTTCCGTGTTCTTTGCCCAACGTACAAAGCGACCAAGAGTCACAGTAAGCCCAGCTAAGTATTTGTGAATAGCTAGACGGGGTTGACCGGATGTCAACGTAGTTTGGCGGAGCTGCTTCGTCGTCACCCTGGAATTACCGCGACGTTTCGGCCGAGGAAGGCTTATGATATCAACAGCACGGCTTGCAATTGTTGGTACTTCCGGATCTGGCGGCGACATATTAGTATTATTGACACGTTCTGGGTTTGCACTGCCCCTTTCAGACTCAGATGCTTCAGACTCAGATGCACCTCCACTATCCGTGCAGGCTTCTGTAGAGGGCGAAGCGGATTCTAGCTCGTCCATAAGTTTCGCTGTTTCCATTGCCTCAAGTGGGTCAAGCGAGGAGAAATCGTCTTGATCGTCATCGTCTTCGTTACTACTACCGTCATCGCGATTACCATTGACTTCGCGGTTGAGACCAATCTCCACCGTGTCCTTCCAGGGAGAGTGTTCTTGATAGAAATCAGCGCTTGATAGACACGATAAATGTTCCAGCAGAGGCTCTAACACTGCTTTTGCGTATGAATACTTTTCCGATGACGACAAAACCACCTGGTCGGCACGCTCCTTCCTGTGAAGGCGAACGTAGGCAATCTCTTTGGGTATCTTAGAAGCTGTCATACAGGATCCGTGATCATCACTTTGTTCCGCAACCTTGTCATCCTCCGGCAACTTTACTTTCGGCGACCTTAACTTGGACATTTGCACAATAGGTTTCAGTAAGTCGGCCGCCGCAGCAAGGTCTTCTTTTGCTTCTAAGGCCACCGACAAACTCCATCGTTTGTCAATCGAAGTAACAGGTAACATGTTGAGCCGAAGTCCAGATTCTGCCAAATGCATCATGTGTCGGCAAGGTAGATGATGACTCTTGAAGAATAAGCAGGTACATGTCCATTCTCCATCGTTGCACACAAATGTTTCATTCCCACAGTTGACCTTCCAAAACGATACACTTCCAGCAACTCGTTTGCAGAAAGCGCCTGCCATAAGGTTGACGAAGCGCTCCCACTCCTTCTTGACCGTCGAAAATATATCCGCAGACAGTCTATTAGCCACAGCTCGCAAAAACTTTGGCACCGTCTTGGGAGCACGTGAAGTTGAGTGCTGATGTCCAATAGTGAAAACAATTTTCTGCGTAATTGTCATTTGATGCTGAAGCAACCCAGCAATAGTCTTGTCAATTCTCGTTTTGTGACCAAGCAGCATCTTGACTTGATTCCAGTTTGACTCGATCCTATTCGTTGTGGTATTGCCAGCAGTAAAAGCCTTTCCTCTAGCAAAATTGGCCCACATGTCACGGCACGAGTTCCAGTTTTTATCGAAGTACGCAAAAAAGGCTTCGCGCTTCTGGTCCTTACAATACTGCCGCAGTGCATCGTAGTAGAAGTTGTATCTGGTACTAGAGGTACTAACATAAATCAAAGGCAATCACAAATTAGCCTCCACATACACGGTGAAAAGCAACCTTACTCACCTGTAAAGTAGTTTCATCATTTGGACCAGCCGTTCCTCACATTGCGAAACTCTTAGGCGATACAACGGACGCTTCATTACCTTCTTCCAGTATCTAATGGCATGGAACTGACATAACAGAACCTTGGCTCTCGGAAAGGCATCCTTTAATACGCCCCACTCAACAAAATCTTTGTCAATCACCACCGATTGAATGTGCTTCCAGCCCGAGTTCTTCTCCTTGAAGTAGTCCAAAATTCTGGACATTGTCAGTGCTTGCTCGTTGAGACAAATGAAATCAAAAACCGGAAACCCTCAACCCGTATCTGTGGTGACAACCAAACTTCCTAAAGGTCAAAACCAAAACAAAGCTGAGTTAATCATAC